CCGACCTCCTAGAATCCCCATTGATGAAACACTCGAGACCATCCTCTACGAACTGAGCCTTCTATTTCAATATTGCTCTGTTCGGATTTCAATACCAACCTATTATTTCCTTCCTCTGATCAAGTCTATTTATCATATCTCCTCTACTCTCTTAATCTGTATATAGTTCTGCACAACCTACCCATCACACCCAATACTCAGACTCTCGGCTCGATCTTTGCATTATTGACTTTTCTGATAAACTCCTCGCCTCATCACAGCACCCGGTTCCGTTTTTGTCTGCTCACGATCTCATACAGATCTCCTATAACTTTCCTGTCCCTCAATTTAGTCCCCGATCTATATCTTTCAGAAATCTTACTCTCCTGTCATCCGAAACTTTGATGCCCGATCAATCCAATGGGGCTCCATATACTCTTCTAACTCCGTTGACTTTATGGTAGAAAACTTAACCAATCAACTGCACGCTATCCTAGACCGTCACGCTCCTCTTAAAATTAGGACAATCAAGTACCCACCAGCCCCATGGTTGACGCCTGTGATAAAAAATTGCATCAAACGAAGAGACGCAGCAAGACGAAGGTTTAAGCGCACTCGACTCCCAGAAAACTACATGAATTTCAAGCTGCTTCGAAACAGTACGCAATCCATGATACGCCGTGCTGAATCCCACCACTACCAACAATTCTTATCCAGCACACCAAACTCCAAAGCTATGTGGGCAATCCTCCGTAAATTATCTTTAGGCAAATCCACCCAAACCCAGACTACCTCTATTTCAGCTGACATACTCAACACTCATTTTGTCTCCTGTTCATCCGATCCCTCTGTCCAAGCACCAGCTCCACCCCTCATACACCCCTTCCCCTTTAATCCCAATAATTTTTTTTCTTTTCGCATATTACCCCTGACGACCTCCTTAAGTCCATCAGTAAATCCCAAACCAAAGATTTCGGACCAGATAATATCCCAGTTAAATTAATTAAATCCTCACTTCCATCCATTTTCCCAGTCCTTTAACATATCTATAATTTCTCACAACAAAGTTCCACTTTTCCCAGAACCTGGAAAACCGCTCTTGTTCGTCCTCTGAACAAAATCTCTAATCCCACAACCTCTAATGATTTCCGTCCAATTTCCCTCTAGTCTAACCTTTCCAAACCTTTGGAGTGAATAGTACAATCTCAACTATCCCAATATCTTGAACAAAATAAACATTTGAACTGCTTCCAGTCTGATTTTAGACCAAACTACTCCACTCATTCCGCCCTCATTAAAATTTCCCAAGATCTCCACACAGCCATAGATCAACAGAAACTCACCATCCTGATCCTTATTGATTTCTCTAAAGCATTCAACTCAGTTGACCATAATATCCTCCTATCCAAACTTAAAAATATATCCTTATCATCCAGTACCCTTAAGTGGTTCCAATCCTTTCTCACCGATCGCTCCCAGTACATTGTAGTTCCTAATAACCCTCAATCAATGTCTCTACCTCTGTCCAGAGGCGTCCCACAAGGTCCCTCATTTTCTCCCACCCTCTTTTCCATCTACATTAATGACCTCCCTTCCTCTTTCATACACTGTCAATATCACCTACACGCCGATGACGTCTAAATTTATCTTTCCTTCAACCCGACAGATTTCTCTAATGCTATCCTGAAACTGCAACAAGACATCAATAGAATATGCGCATGGGCAAATCTTAATAAGCTGACATTGAATACGGAGAAGACAAAAGCCATCCTGATCGGATCTCCCTCACTCCTCAAATCCATTTCAACACCTCCTAATCTTCTTCTGAACAACTCACCTATCTCCTTCCATACCACCGTTAAAAACCTAGGCATTTTTTCGATCAAAGCCTCTCCTGGAAACCACACATCTCCCAAATCTCCCGCCGTACTATATCCACCCTGAAACAGTTTAACCATCTACGTTATCTTCTTCCGTTCAAAACCCGTCAACTCCTGGTCCCCTCTCTTGTTTTCTCCCACTTCGACTATGGCTGCATGGTGTATGGTGGACTCTCGGGAGAACTCAAGCCAAACTTAAACGTTTAATGAGTTGCTCAATCCGCTTTATCTTCGGGATCTCAAGAGATACGCATATTACCCAGTTCTACACCAAGTTGAAGTGGCTTTATCCATCCTACCGCCGTCAATATTTTCTGGCTACCTTCCTATACCGAGCCATTACAACACGGCGACCTGCCTATTTTCTACAGATCTTACAATTCAAACGCTCCTTTCAATCCCGTCCCACCAGATCCCGTGCGTCCGACCTCTATTCTTCCTCTCACCGAACTGCTGCATTTGATCAATCCTTTTTAATACAAGTTGTCTCCCTCTGGAACTCTATACCTTCAGATATTCGACACGCAAAATCGATATCCTCTTTAAAATCTCTCCTCTTCGAACACATACTCCATTCCCTATCCGATTGATCACGAAATGCATTTAAAAACCTAGGCTGTAAAAATCTCAAAGTACACCCAGATACTCTGATTATTTTGTAATTCATCGATATTTCGTTCACTTAATTACTTTCTCTGTATGTTTTATATTTACACGTATTTATATCTTTTTATCATTTATAACTTTATTGTACACCGAATCAACCTGTAAATATTAAATTGTATTTCATGGACACACCAAAATATTGATATATATTCTGTATTTGTGACTTGTTCTAAAGGGACACTAGTCCCAGAATATTAAAATTATTTTCATTCATTCATTCATTCTTTATTAGTACAACACTAATCTATGTTGTACAGATCTGCTAATGGAAATTTCATCTGGACAAACGTTTACTAGGAAACCTCATTCATGAATGGAACGACAACAAACTTTACGATGTTTCCGACTTTTGTAATACTTATTAGCAAAATCCTCCAAGCTTCCAATAAATTATAAAATACTCATTTACATTTATTACCTTGATTGATTGATTTATTACAATTAAATTCTATTTAGACTTTAATTGGGCTTTGGCGCTCTTCTAAACCATGGAATTACTAATTGTATTTTAAGGGGACCCTAAACGGTCAATCGGAATTGCACTAATGACGTTCCGAATTGTCGTGTAAGGTAGTGAATGAAGTACTGATGGTGGTGCGCTGCGGATTTCCAAACATCCGGTTAGGTTACCTAGGCCTCACAACCATTATAAATTTCTGATTTTCATTATATGTAAATAGTTAAATAATTTTTCACATCCCTTTTTTATAATTTTAAACCATCTTCAACTATTTCTTTTAAATAGTCAAGTGGGCAACAAAGTAAAAAAAAATGAGGAAACCTCACAATTTACTTTAGGAAAAAAAAAAACTTTAACGTTGTGTATATTTTTATCAGTTCTTTTTCCATTTTCCTCAACAAATTTATTATTTTCGCAATACCTTTCCTTAATTTTTGTAAGTAGTAGACTTATATTTTACTAACTTTTGTCAAAACGATTTTCTATGAGACTAACCTTACTACTAGATAGGTTAGTTTAGCTAGGTCTCGTTATTAAGTAAATAATTTCATAAAAGTAAATAGTTGTTTATATCCCTAGTCTATATTATTATTAACCATTTTCAACTATTTTTTCTTTAAATAGTCAAGTAGGCAATAAATTGGAGAGAAAAAAAAGTGAAAACTTCACATAAGTAATGATCAGTAATGATTGAACGTGTAAGGGTCTTCATGATCAAAGCGATAGCGGGCAATCTTGGCACTTCTTGTGACGTTCATTCATGAATTACCGTGTAGGGTCTGCTTTACCGATTAGGCTTAATGTAGAAACCTAACCTTCCGTAATAAACTCCAGTCCAATCCAAACTCACTAATATCTAACCTTCCTTTCTCTTCTTTTCTTGACAATTCTTCTAGGTATCTGAAAATAAGATGGTCTCACAGCCTCGTAGACATTTTGAGTCTTGACAATGGGTTGTTTCTCTACAGGTATATTCGCGTCATTATAACAATCCACAATAACTTGTGTTATAGTCATTACACATTAGTGAGAATTGTACATTTAATTTCTATTGTTTAATTCTTAGTGGGTTAATAATATATTCTGCTTGATAACCCGAAAAAAAAAACAGGAGACAATGATTATGGGGTAGTTACAGAAATATAATAATCATTTTTATTTTATTATTTCCTGGGAAGAAGGGAAAGGTTCGACAAACATAACATATATATAACCTAACGAAACGTAAATAATAAGACGTTCTACTTTGAAATTTTGGAGATCGGTCTTCCACGTTTACTTTCGGAGTTCCATTTCAGTGTGTTTGAAGTGATCTTGAAACCAGTCTCCATCTTTGATCAGCTATTCGCAACAAATATTAAAAGTTCTAAAATATATGACATAACCTATTTTTTTAAACATTTTTTGTATAAACCAGTTTTGATTGGATAGGACCGCGTCGTTTACGAAGCGTTTTTAATCAGCAGTGCTTGGTTATTGAATTTGCCTAGAGCATGAACAGTGTTAGGTGTTTGTGAAATGTTTGGATATCGAAACAGTGGACTCCTGTTAAATCAATTTTTTGAGATATCATTTTGTATTTTCTTTTTCTCTCCAACGGTCGTAGAAATACCTCTTAAGTCATATAACCTTCATTATTAATTATAACCTATCTTTTTAATCGCCTAATTTTAGTGTGTTTTTTTATATTAGTATACTTCGTATAATATAAAATAACAATCAAGGTCATTAACTTTTTCTGTTATAAAATCAGATAAAAAATGATTATTTTTTATAATAATAAATACAAATATTTCTCTACGAGTTTCTGTTACCTTACCTTTCATCTCCTTAATTCTTATCTCTTAATAATTCTTTGCATATTATAATATTATCCAAAGCCGAACAATTTTTTTTCACTATAAAACACATTCCCATATGTTTTCGGGTATTTTTTCGTTTATACATTTTTTACCGTTATATATAATTTAAATATTTGAACATTAGGATAAGTGTTTCTCTGCGTTGGCGCAGGGATGGACAAATATAGAGAGGATATCTTGGACAGAGTGAGCTAGGATTTAGATATTTCAAGGATTAATGAATGATAAAAATATATATATTTATTATAATTAACATGCTCGTAACATTTTGCAGGGAATTGGATATGCCAAAAAAGTATACTTCTGTATATTACTTAAGAAAAATATGAAGCAGGAAGAAGAAAGCGAATTGGACAGAAATATAAAATTCAACGCTACGCTTTTATTAACTATAGGGCTCGTCTTGGCTTCCTTTTACGAAGGAATGCCCCGCATCATCAGCACTTATGGTTACATGATCTTCTTTCCACTTCTCGTTTCTGGGATAATGTCTTTTATTACAAGTAAGATGTTCAAGCAACGAATATAACTGCTGTTTAAAGAGCATACATCTCTATACTCCATATCGAAATAAATTCTGTTGGAGTAGAGGTTATCATTAATCAATTTCATTGAAAATTACTTCTGGTTTTTGGATGGCATATTAGCGTTAATAAACATTTAAAGCTTTTACGGTCATCGAAATTGGCACATTATATTTCTTTTCACAAATATCTAAAAACAGTTGGATAAAAATATAAATATATCTATAGGCATGATTTTATAACGAATGCCTCTTAACCTGAATACACTCTACTATCCTAATATGCTATCCATAACCTCCGGATAAAATTAGTATGTCACTGTCCGGTAATTTGTAAATTAATAAGGGGACCCTACACGGTCAATCGGAATTGCACTAATGACGTTCGGAATTGTCGTGTAAGGTAGTGAATGAAGTACTGATGGTGGTGCGCTGCGGATTTCCGAACATCCGGAATTCAAAGGTTCATTCACGAGAAGTGGAGGGGGGACTGGGGGGGAGTAGTGGGGAGACTAACCATACTGCTGGATAGGTTAGGTTACCTAGCCCTCACAACCATTATAAATTTCTGATTTTCATTGTATGTAAATAGTTAAATAATTTTTCATATCCCTTGTTTATAATTTTAAACCATCTTCAACTATTTCTTTTAAATAGTCAAGCGGGCAACAAATTAAAAAAAAAATGAGGAAACTTCACAATTTACTTTAGGAAAAAAAAACTTTAACGTTGTGTATATTTATCAGTTCTTTTCCCATTTTCCTCAACAAATTTATTATTTTCGCAATACCTTTCCTTAATTTTTGTAAGTAGTAGACTTATATTTTACTAACTTTTGTCAAAACGATTTTCTATGAGACTAACCTTACTTCTAGATAGGTTAGTTTACCTAGGTCTCGTTATTAAGTAAATAATTTCATAAAAGTAAATAGTTGTTTATATCCCTAGTCTATATTATTATTGACCATTTTCAACTATTTTTTCTTTAAATAGTCAAGTAGGCAATAAATTGGAGAGAAAAAAAAGTGAAAACTTCACAATTTACTTATAGAAAAAAAATCTTTAACTGTTGGGTTTATTTGCCATTAATTTATCCATTTTTCTTAACAAATTGATTATTTTCGCAATACTTTTCATAGATTTTTGTATGTAGTTGACTTATATTTTGGACTAACTTTGGTCTAAACGATTTTCAGTCACTAGGAAGTAATTATTATATCTCCGTTTTTCTCTTGATGCCCAATATTATAAATGACAATGTCCAAATAAGCATTCATGAACGTGGGTCTTCATGATCACAGCGATAGCGGGCAATCTTGGAACTTCTTGTGACGTTCATTCATGAATTACCGTGTAGGGTCCCCTATAGAGTTAAGTTGAATAAATGTTTGTGAGCCTGTGTAATAATATAAGAAATGCATACCTTATTTAAAGGAAAAGTATAGAGATGAGTTCAGCGAGAGAAAATCCTCAATTAAAGAGCTACGGTTCGGAAATAGGGGAATCATCCCTCTTACTATAAGCCATTTCTTGCACAGTCTCGGTGTTGGAAGGGAGCAGATGCAGAACGTGACAGAAACTATTATTTTAGACTCGTAGGGAATCCTCCATTACTGTATATATTGATTGATCTTGGCTTTCGCTTATTCAATGCTGTGTACTATGCTTGGCACATTAGCTATCGCAATGGTCCTGCCTATCTCTCTCTTATTTTTTTTTATATTATTTTTTGATTGATGAGTATACTGTGTTATTTAGCAACTCAGCACAGTTAAGCAGCCGTGCAATATTTTTAGTAGTTCTCTCTTTACATGAGATAGGAGTCTGGTTTATAAGTAATTTACACTTCTTCATTGATTAAAATCTTTTATATTAATCTATATGAATAAAAATGTAAATAGTCATTTGTTTAAAACCGCTAATCTCCGAAACTTCTTCACTGATTGCTTTGAAATTTTGACATAAAGTTTCTATCGGATTCAGGAGTGTTTTGTATACATTTATGGAACGCTGATCTTTATGGCTGAATGGCTATAAAGATTTTAATGTTACTTGGATAAAATCTTCTACATGAAGCTCTTATAATTTATGTATATAACATGCTTCTCCAAAAACAGTATGAAAAAAAATACGATGGATTTGCTATATTTGCGAATAAATCATAAAGTACACAATTTTTGATTTATTACACCCATGATTATTTAAAAGCTTCCTGAATTCTTAACAGAATGATAAAAAAAAAACAACACTGAAATTGAAAATAATTATGTCCGAAACGAAGCAATTTGTAAAGGCCGAATCAAAAAAACAAAAACAAATCTGACGATTTGGTGCAGAAATTTTTTTTTTTTTTTTTTTTTTTTTATTTCAATGGAATTTACAACTGTATTACATAGAGAATACAATAAGTAAATGAGAAATTTGTAACATGGCATGTACAACATGAAGAGAAACCACCCATTGGTAGAACTCAAATTAAAGTTCTATATTAGAAGATCCCGAGGCCATCTTCTTTTCAGACGCCTCGGAGGGTTATCAGGGATCGAGGAGGAAGCAAGGTTTGAAACGAGAGGATTCGGATGATTCTGCAGTTTGTTATGGAAGGAAAGATATCTGGATTGGGCCAGATCGGAAACATATGGAACATTAAGGTCTTTATGGATGATTTTATTTGTGACAAAGTAAGGAGCGTTGAGGATTTTACGAAGGATTTTGGATTGTAAGGATTGGATACGAGAGGAATTCGATGGTTTAGTGGAGCCCCAAAGCTCAATTCCGTAAGTCCAAATAGGTCTTATTATTGTCATATATACGAGTCGTTTATAATTGATTGAAAGCTTAGATCGTTTGTCTAGTAAGTGCTGCAGTAGTCGAAAACGTCGGGCGGTTTCTAGTCGTTTCAGTCTGGTATGGGGGTTCCAAGTGAGTCGTTTGTCAAGGTGGAGTCCTAAGTAGCGGATTTGCTCAACAGGAATAAGTGGAGTATTATTGAAGGATACTGTAGGACAAGAGGTCATAGGTTTACGACGGAGGGTAAAAGTGATTTGATGGGATTTGTTGGAATTTATTTTTATTCTCCAATTTTTACACCATTCTTCAAGGCTTGTGATATGTGATTGAAGAGTTTGGGATGCAATTAAAGGATCGTTATTAACTGATAGGATACACGTGTCATCGGCATAGGTGGTGATGACAGTGTTGGATTGGGTTGGGATGTCAGCTGTATAAACTGTGTAAAGGATAGGACCTAGGATACTACCTTGAGGAACACCGGCAGACTGAGTAAAAAGAGATGAATAAGCATTGTTATGATTGACTTTGAAGTATCTGTCAGTAAGGTAGGAACGTATAATGAGGAAGTATGTAGGTGGTAGGAATTCACGGAGTTTGTACATCAGTCCCGGATGCCAGACTCTATCAAACGCCTGTTCAACGTCGAGAAAGACTCCCGTGCAGTACATTCCGCGCTCCAATGCAGAGGAGACTACATCTACCACACGATGGCATTGCTGAATAGTGGAGTGGGATGTGCGGAATCCAAATTGGTGATCTGGGATAATGTGTTTAGAGTCTAGGATGGGATACAGGCGTTTTAAAATGAGTTTTTCCAGGATTTTGCCCATAATGGGTAAAAGGGAGATAGGACGGTAAGAGGATGGGTGTTCTGGCGGCTTTGTGGGTTTAGGTATCATTTTGACAATGGATAGTTTCCAAGAGTCAGGAAAATATGTGGTGCGGAGTACAGCATTAAATATATAGGTTAGGAACAGTATGGCTTTTTTAGGAAGACATTTTAGGATCTGGGAGGTGATTAGGTCATGGCCAGGAGCTTTGCGAGAAGGTAATCTATTAATGATATTGGATATTTCTGAAGGATGAAATGCTTTAGGTGGAGGAGTCAATTGGAGTGGGGTATCCAATTCTGCTTCAATAAACTCAAGGTGGGTTGGATTAAGGATGTCTGGGTGTGGATTAAATGTTTTTGAGAGGTGTTGAGCAAATATTTGAGATTTTTCATCATCAGATCTGGACCAGGTTTGGGTTTCAGTAATAAGTGGGTGGTTAAAATCTTTGAATTTAAGGAGTTTTTTAGTGGTCAACCATAGTGATTTGTCACAAGTAGTAAGTTTTTCTGTCATGTTATGTAAATTTTGAACTTTGTATTTTCTAATTTCAGCTTTTAGTTGGTTAGTTAATTTGTTGTAATATGTCTTATCTGATGGATATCTAGTCCTGTGCCACTTCGATCTTGCTCTGCGTTTTTCCCTTAATAAGATACGAATATGCTGCGGCAAATTTGTCTGTTGGGAGTTGTCAGTTTTATTGGTAGATGTATTATTCTTTATTTTGTCACTTATAGATGTAGTAAGTTCTTTTATGGCTGTGTCAATATCACGTTTCGTCTTAAGTGGAATATTTAGGTCCAATTTATTTTCCAGGTCTTTACGAAAATTGTCCCAGTTTACTCGTCCTGTAATCAGTGTAGGAGAGGACGAGGGCTTAGGAGCGAAGGTTGTGTGTAATGAAAGCAGAACTGGAGAATGATCTGAGGAGAGGTCATCCAGGGATTTTATTGTGACATGGGAAGAGGAAATTTGGGAGGTGACAAATATGTCGAGGATATCAGGGCGTTTTTTGAGGGATGTTGGCCAATAGGTAGGATTCATAGGAGAGAGGACAGAGTAACTATTGGAAGTTGAGACAGAAGATAGTATGTTACCACGGGAGTTGGATGATCGACAACCCCATCGTTGGTGTTTAGCATTGTAGTCTCCTCCAGCAATAAAGCGCGATCCGAAGGATTGAAATAAGGATTCAAGTAAGTTATAGGTAAGAGTATGACCGGGAGGACAGTATACAGCTGAGAATGTTAAATGGAAAGGACGAGTTGAAATGATAACCGAGGTTGCTTGAATAGCCTCCGTTGGAGTAGAAGGAATGAGAGAATGGGATAAGGATTTATGGATAAGGATGCAAGAACCGGCATGGGAAGTGTTGTCGGGGTGGTCTGATCTATAAGTGATATAGTCACGTATGTAGAAATATGAACGTCGAGTGAAGTGAGTTTCTGTCAGTAGAGCAATATCAATGTGATAGTCATGAAGAAAAATGTCGAGTTCGTCTCGGTGGTTTTGTAGTCCGTTAGCATTCCATAAAAGAACAGCTAGGGGCTTAGTGCTCATCGTGAGAGATTGAAGGGAATTTCGGTAAGGATTCTTGTGAGGAGGGTAATTAGTGGCTTGATAGTCTCTTGGAGATCTTTCAGGAAGGAAGCAAGGGTGGAGTTTATTAAATCGATCGGGTTTTGTTGGTCAGGTTGGTTTTGATTAGGAGTTCGTGAGGGAAAGATCTTATGATAAGGAGTGTCTGATGAAGGATGTACCCTTGGAACTTGGGAAGGAGAGTAAATATGAGCAGTAGGGTGGGAATAAACAGGAGTTGGATGTTCGGGCGGTAATTTTACACGTATAGGTATCTGGTGAGGAGGCATTTGCTGACGTGGAGATTTTGAATGAATGTGGGAGATTTGAGTCTTGGATTGGGAGGTCTGGATCTTAGGTTTGGAAGCCTGAGTCTTAGTTTTGGAAATCTGAGGCGTCTGACGTCGCGGCTGTTGATTCTTCACCGTAGTGTCTGAATATAGGTGCCTAGAGTCTTGATGGGGATGATCTGTTGATGTAGAAGGGTTGTGCGTCAATTGTGGTATTATTTCGTTCGGCAGTTGAGGAAACGCTGCCAAATTTAGGAGTTCAGGTGCCTGTACCTGTGCCTGGGTAGAATTCTTCTGTTCTTCTTTTAATGATAAATTATAAGTTCTTTGCTTATATAGCTTCTTATAGATAATGCAGCCCCGATAGGTTGCAGGGTGGTCCTCACCACAAAGGGCACATTTTGGTGGTTCATTTAACGGTTTCTGGCAGGTGTTAGAGGCGTGAGGCCCGGCGCATTTAACGCAACGCACCGAGTGATGGCAGTAAGCCTTTGTATGCCCTAAGTTTTGGCACTTGGTGCATTGAACGACTATTGGTTTCTGCCTCGGCTCTTCAAATTTTACAACAGAATACAGCAGTCTTTTAACTTCGAAGATTTCTGCATTATTCCGGGCTGGTTCTAGATCGATGAAAAATAATGGCAGTGGATATTTATCAATAGGATGTAAGATAGAAGATATATGTCTTACCGAATGGCCGATATCTTCCAGATCTTTTTTTATAGCGGTAGTGGGTGTGGTAGAGTGAAGACCTCTCAAAACCACTCTATATGTTTTGTCTTCTTTTAGTTGATAGCAGTGGAAGTCGTGATTGAGTGCTGTCAAATGATTTATAAGTTTTTTATAATCATCTTTAGTATTGGTGTTAATCTTTATATCGTTGACTCGAGAAAAACACCGGAAGTTGGTCGGTCCGATCAGATTAGCTATTTCTTGACCGAACTGAATGAAATTGTCAATCTTGCTTACATAAATCGGAGGTGGCACTGGTTCAGTGAAAGTTCTAGGTTCAGTGATTTCGTTAATTTTATTATTGGCTGTAACAGAATTGTTACTGGATGTGTTAGTTGATGGTTTAGTGTCAGGTTTCATAGCTGAATTATTACTAGTTTTTGATTCTTTATTTACTTTGAGAGCTTGCTTTGTTTTAGCGGATTTGTTTTTTTTTTTATTAGGTGAGTTGCCCGCCGAACCGGGGGCAGAGTTTCTATGGCGCTTTTGGAGAGTTCGCCTTGTTAAATATTGAGAATCAGTCTCACTGATTTCGGAGAAAGGAGTCTCTTCATCTGATTCGTCAAAAGAAATGTTCTTATCAGAATCCATACCTCTAAATAATAATATATACAAAAAGAAGAGAGAAAAAAAAAAAAAAGTATCACTAATAAGAAAATTTACAAAACAAATACTTAATAACTAATCTATTTACAAATATATATACAAATATTAAAAAAAACATTTTTATAAATAAATAAAATAGAGTCTCAGTAGAAAAAAAATATTAAAATAAAATAATCAATTAAGAAATAAAAACAGAGAAAAAAAAAAATATATATACTGTCTTAGGTACGAACTCAAGATATTCTGAACGTAAAATAAAGCGCCGTGACCTTGAATTTGAAAGATAAGACCCGCTGAGGGGAATTATCTGCCACGTAAACTGTCTCTAGCAATCGAGTACCAATTTAATGTTGCTAATTATTAATAAAAGTCACTCACCTCACTGATTATAATGTAAAAATGTTAAATTGTTTATAAACTCACTGTTTACAAAGTCTGAGAACAGGATTTGAGATAATAAGCACATAACAAACTAGCAAAGACGGAACGATACGAATATAGAACCTCAGTTTCGGCCATGACACTTACGGGTGCAGAAATAAAATGTTTTTAACATTTAGTACTTTTTCTTGGAAGATTTAGAGATAGATTGCTTTTTACATGGACAAATATATGTTGCGTGTTCCACAATTTGAAAACCAGACAATCTCTATATAAAGAATGGAACAACAAAAAGTATTGTATATCCACAAGTATTTTGAAATGAAATATCTGCTTTCTTTTTTACTTATTTTTCTATTCCACCAGACTGAAGCGCAGCAACAGCTAATTTAAAATAAAATAATAATTTGTCTATAATTAAATAAAATATTTGTATGCTGCATTTGAACACTTGACTATAAATGATAATTTAATACAACGTGTTTATTAATTTAGTTCATAAGTTCAATACACTTATAGGTTCATAGGTTCAATATACACCACAGTAACTCAACAGCCTACTACTGTTTGAGCTATCTCCTCTCGCTTTCTTGTAATTGGGCTTCCTTTCCTTCTCTTGTCTTGCCTTAGCATCCACTCTATTGGAATTTTGGACCATCTTTTTGTATTATGTTTGGCAACATGTCTGGTCCACCTCCATTTCAGTTTTTGTGGTTCTTTTGTTAGGCTATTGACTGTAATCCTAGATTGTACTTTTTTGGTGCTGACCGGTAAGCACTAGCGGATCCAGGATTTAATTTAGGAGTGGTGGAGGGAGGGCTTAAAGCCCGATAGCTTTTTTTCATGTATATAATGATGATTATTTTGGAAGAAAAGAAAGATACTAACTACGTATATGAAATGGTATTTAAGTGATTCTTAAAGTCCTATTACATGTAATTATACGTACAATAATACTTTAATAGATAATTTTTTTCCATAAAATATGGGTACATTTTACCATTTAAGGGTAGGGGGGGGAGAGGGCTCATTCCGAAAGCCTCCCCCTCCACCGTAGATCCGCCTGTGCCCGGAAGTACAAGCCAAACTATTAAAAGAACAGTTTCCTTGTAGAATTATGTGAAAATATTTTTATTCATATTCATTATTAACGTCCGAACGATGGATTCGACGTTAAATTAAGAAAACTGACACAAAATGCCCAAAATAAGGATAATGAATGGTTTTTAGCGAATTTTAGGATGTAGGTAACTCTTTTCATAGACTATACATAGCATATTTTTTTTTCCCTATAAAACATGTATTTGTTCCTGTCAACTTACTGTTAAAAATCAGCAAATGTGCTGGTGATACAGGAAATGATGATATGACAGGCATGGGGAAGGAAAGTACTCAGCAGTTCCTCATTCCTAAAGTATATATTTAATTTTAGAATAAGTTAATAAATCAGGCAAAAAGTTAACCTTTATTCGTTCGGCAAGTGAATTAAACAAACTAATTATTATTTTTTTATTCTATAGGTGTATGCTTCGCTGAATTGGTGACATTAAATCCTAATTCAGGTGGCTCCTATCGCTATGTTTATTATACAATGGGTGAGCTGATGGGATTTCTTGTTGGATGGAGCTGCATATGTACTAGTGTCATGCGTAATGTATTCTTATATTTTACTTTTACCAACACTATATATAATACCTAGCATAGATTATTTTCCGGCTCTTAGGAATGATAGATTTTTATGCATGTCGTATCAAATGATGGAGAGTTTCATGGAGAAGTGACGTTCTAATTTTGATTCTTAAATCAATACAACTTTAATTAAAGTCATTGAAAAAAACACAAAATATACATGTATAGCTTCTATACTCTCAGTAATAGACTTTAATACACTTATTAAGTAAGGGAATTATAAAATATGGTTCTTCTGCTCGGTTTCCGAAAGTGGAAATTCTCTTCTCCAAGTGGAAATTCTATAAATTTAATCCCTTAAACAGTTAAGTATGTTAAGTATATTAAGGAATGATTATACTTTGATTTAAGTATTGATCCACTTTGATCCGTGGATACATCTCATGATCACGCTACAAATGTAATTCTGAAAATTCCAGAATGCAAGAACCTGGTTTTTACTACCTTCCTTCATTTTCTCCGATATCACTAAAGAAACCGACATCTGCTGATACCCATTCCCTTCAGGATGTCGTTCACCTTTTGCAGTAAACTGGCGTGGAGCGCCTCCTCCATGTCCATTCTCGGGCATTTCAATTCTTTGGACACAATGCATGACTCAAACATCTGATTCGGCACCCCTTACAATTGAAACCAAATCCATATATCTATCATAGCTCCTCATTGCTGCGAATTCTCCCTGATAATGTAAACACAACGGACTATAATATTTTTTGTTTAGAATCATATTTCTTAATTATTTGACAGACTAACAACTTGGTTTATTATTTAAAGCAAACATTTGGCATAACCAGTTTTAAAATAGATAAAATAAAACATTAATTTATTTTATCCCTAACAACTCCCGATGACCTAGATAATCATAATTATCTATTATTCTGGAACGAGCTCCATAAGAATAATACAGAAAGACAGAAATTTGGACTAAGGAGCCTCAGAGATGCATAAATAAAAATACAGAGTAATTAAATAGTAAAAAACTAAACAAATTTATAAGTTACTTTCTAATTTGAATCAGTTAATAATAAAAAATAAAAAATTGATTAAAACATGCAGTAAAGATAGTGCCATAAATTGCTTTACTACCACATTCCAACAAGCTGCCTGTACTGGCTCCTCCCCAAAAGACTTCTCAAGAATTCCTAATGACCATTCTTCATGAGCACCTCCTCGACCTAATCCACACCAAACGCCGTACCAGATTATTATGGAAACGTACTCGCCATCCTACCTTCCGCAGCTCCTATATAATTATTATTTCAAAAAAATGGACAAAGCCAACTTCAGATCACAATCCTTTAACTCCATCCTATCGTCTCTCTCGTGACAATTCTGTTTGAGAAACAACAACTAAAATCCTAAACCCTCACCAAATTTCCCGTCCCCTCCTACGAGATGACGGCTCCTTGGCAGCATCTGATGAAGATAAAGCCAAGGAGTTCGCGAAACACCTCTCCAATATATTTATTCCCCATCCGGAATCCCATACCGCCCACACCGTAACAGTAGAAGAATTCCTTACATCGTCTATCCCACTACTCCTGCCCCCTAAAGGGATTCATTCTTCCGAAGTGAATTACAAAAGCTAATCCCCCGTAAATCTCCTGGATATGATCTCCTTACCCTCATATCCTTCGACAACTTCCATCCAAAGCAGTCATATTTCTTACATACATCTACAATTACATCCTACGTCCCACCCACTTTCCTGAATTATGGAAAGATTCCACCATTATCTTTTTCCCAAAACCAGGCAAACCTTCCAACAGCTTGAAATCCAACATACCAATTAGCCTACTCCCAATCCTTTCAAAAATCTTTGAAAAGATTCTTTTGAAACGAATTTTACTCCTCATAGAATCCCCAAATCTTCCTTCCCACCAGTTCGGTTTTCGCTCGAAACACTCCACTGTTCAAAAAGGACTTCGAATCGTTGTTCATATATCAACAGCCATATAAAACAAGCTATACTGTTCGTATGAATTTCTGGACATAGTACAGGCTTTTGACTGGGTATGCCACCTCAGGCTGCTCTTCAAGCTTAAAATCCATCTCCTTCAGCCATTGTACGTAGTCCTTCGATTCTACCTCTGTCACCGATTCTTTTGAGTACACTGTGGAACAGCATTTTCCGATATTTATCCAATTAAAGCCGGTGTTCCCCAGGACAGCGACTTGGGTTACGTGCTTTACACGCTCTTTACCGCTGACATCCCTGCTCATTCAGATACTTTCCTTGCAACATTTGCTGATGACAAAGCAATTTTATCATCCTACTCATCCTAAAATAGCATCTTTAAACGTACAAATCCACTCTCACGTACAGAACCTCTCTCTGATAGAGCACTGGTGCGATAAATGGCACATTAAATAGTATGAATCGAAATGCAAACATTTTACCTTTACTCTCCGACATTCCTGTCCACCAGTACCTTCCTTACTCAGGCAGAGTCCGGTATCTAGGCTTTCTCTTGGACCGAAGACTAACCATGTTATTTCCATGGATCCATGGATCCACTTACTAAACTTAAAAGACAAGAACTCAACCGACGATATGGCCAGCTATATACACTACTGAACAAAAAATCTCAACTTTCAACTGACAACAAACTACTGATCTACAAGACAACACCGAAACCTATTTGAACCTACGAACTGGAACTGTGGGTGACAGCAAAATTTTGTAACATCAAACGCATTCAATCCTTTCAGTCCAAATTCCTTCGAACAGTGATTGATGCTCCGTTCTAAATAACCAACCAAACCCTACATCATGATCTTAATATCCCATTTGTCCTATACCTAATCTCTGAAAATGTTTCTAAATTCCATCAAAATCTTACATATCATCCCAATCCATTTGCACAATCTCTCTCTAGCTCTACTCATCCCTACCATCATCCTCGAAGGTTGAAGCGGCAGTAGACCGGAGACCTGTTGTAAAAATATATTGGAGTTCTGGCAATGACCAGATTCTCCACTCAAGCCATGTATGTCTGGTTATAGCGCCTCTGCTCAGCCTCCACTGGTCCTTAATACCAGTGATGCGGCTGAGTGAGACCCGCTGGGCTCTCCTAGAGTCCTGTCTTCCCTTACACGATTGAGGGAAAGGCTTGGCTCGGAGTGAATGAATATTGTATAAAAGCATGTGTGTATTTAAGTAGTTATTTTGATTAGTTTAGTTTCTTTTTGTTTAGTTTAGTGTCTTTTAGTTTATATACATTTACTTTTAGTATTATCATTTTGCTGTTTGTTTATTTTTATTTATTATGCATAGAGAATGAGCTACTTTCTATCGCTAGTACTATTGTCCTTAAATGTGAGAGATTGTAATATATCTTAATAAAGAATTAAAAAAAAAAAATGATCTGGGAAATAAAGGAGGTCAAATAAAATTCTAATCTAGCTTTAGGCATGACTCAGGTCTCAGAACTATAGATGACAACAAGAATAGCCCAGGTCTCAGAGCTCATAATTTAGAACCTGTGAGATAGAGCTATACAATTTAATATTGTTTCAGAATATAGCTTCATTTTTATATATTTTAATTTCAGGTTTGTATTTCAGAAGTATGTGAGAAAACGATTATGATGACCCAAAATATAGATTTATCTCTATTTGATGGACGTATGTCAAATTTTACTTCAAAGTATTTATCAATTGGAGGATTTGAGAACTATTTTCTTCGCATTCTTCCAAATGCTGAGCTTGAAAATATAATTTTAATACTGGCTGTAATAGGTAAAAAAAATATTTGAATTAAGAAAAAAACAGATAAACACTATCCACCGCTTCCATCTTCCACCTTCCTGACATCGGGCTTCACTCCGTCCTTTCATATAGTGAGTGGGCCCTGAAAAATGTATTTGGTTCAGACCCAACCTGAATTTTTCCTCGGACAATTTCAATGCAAATTGTCGTAGTCGGTTGAAAACACTCCGCAAGTGTTGGACATGTTGGGTTTCGGTTTTACTGAATATCCATAAATCTACCTGACACCCTTAGATAAAAATCAAATTCATCATAAAAATACACTAAATATATAAGGAAACAACACACAATTAATAAGAAAAGAATATTTAAATTAATGCTTTTAATTAAACTAAATGAATAGAACACAATATAGTCAAGAGTTGATAATTTATGAATTTTATTATTTTACAGGTGTCAGTATTTTGGGTGTCAGAAAAGGAATTTTTGTAGTATATATAATAGCACTTTTTAATATTTTAATAATTTGTTCTTGTATCACAATATTTTGGTTTTACATGGACTTGTCAAAGTTCAACATTCTTGGGGCCACTGAAGATTTTACATTCTTCACTGAAGGTTCTGTTGAAGGCCACTTGTTCTATATGAATTTTGAAGTAGCAATATTTGGTGGTAAGTACTTTATGTTATAAGTTTTTTTATGTTGATATAATTGTGTACAGCAATGGAAATTTGCATTATTTATTTTTTTCACATTTATAAGGAATTCATGATCAAATGAATTGTATCAATTACTCAGCTTTATTATTCTAATAATTTCATACAATGATTAAATAAATGGCTTAGTGTTTCTTGCAGAGAGAAGGCCAGTCAGAGGTGGCCATTCTCTCAAAGGGTGATGGCTCTTGTCCCTCTCAAGAAAATTAATTGCTATTCTTCTTCTTAAGAACGGTACAAATAAAAGAAAAAATATAAAAAATTAGTTGGCCCGCCCGAAAAATTCGCAGATAATTTTGTTTAGTGAAGAAATAGTAAAACAACATGGAATAAATAAGTAGTTCCTATATATTATGTAAGGAAGGAATTAATATTTTTTCCTTAGTCGATTACAATATTCCATTAAACATAATAGACCAAAATATTTATACAAATTGCTTTGCTTGGACCTATTTTTTAACGCTGACTGGAAAGATAATAAAAGTAATAAAGACAAAATAACGCCCCGATCATAGGATATTCTAAATTATTAAAGAAAAGAAAATGTAAGAACAACCAAATGTCTTTAACAAATAATAAAGTTAATATAAAAGCCAGGAAAAAAAAAGTGTAGTAGACTATTCTACTCCTAAATGCAACATCTTTAAATAGGAAGATATTATTGAGTATACTAAAACTAATGAACCGTGTCTTTGTTAATAATTGTCCAATAGTTGGTTACTTCGCTAGAAATCCCAAGAAAAGTTTCTGAAAAGGTTTGATTTTTTGTTTGTTTTGTAGGTAATATAGTAATCTTTCTAATTATCATGGGTACAATCCAGAGAAAAATGCATAGTTTTTGAGTTATTTGCAAATAAAGTTTTTTTTCTTCCATAACTTTTTTTCAGAAATTATGGGGGGATAGTACTATTTTTCGCCTGAGAAGGAGCAGAATATCTTCAAAATGAGTGGTCAATTATTGGATTTGATGAAGAATTGAAGAAGTTATGGCGTACTGGCAAAAAAACACCTTTTTGAAATAATATACTTTCCTTTAAAGAAAAGTTTGTCTTGTTTACTATGGAGTAATGTTTAATTACTTAAATCAAATAATTTTATAGTGATCCGCTTAAAAAAACACAAATGTAACTTTTCTGCTGGAAATTGGGAAATTGTTTATACCAACGTTTTTTGTAGATCTTGGTGTATTCTATCAACCTTTTAAATATTTCTTTCTACTGACAGCTCACCCTTTAAATATGTATTTCATATAGTGTTATATCTCTAGCCAAACATTAAAGTCTCCCCAGAATTATTTGCCTTAGATCTTACCTATTATGTACTAATTTTGTTTTCGTTAAAATTATTTATTTAACTGTCCAGGCGCAGAGACTGTCAAACCCACAACTACAATCCCAAGAGGCTTGGTGGAAGGATTCCATATAGGATTCATGTTTTACATGGTTTCAGTTATACTTTACTCAGCAAGAAAGGGGGCTGCGGAAAAGGTTGTTAAATCTGTATTGTTAGTTAAAGATAAAAATTTCCGTGCTTGGTATTTCTTTTTTTTTACTAACTGGGATAAGAAATACTTGAGGTAGTGGATATCTAAAGGGTTAAAAAAAAATAGGATTATCATTTAACCGTGATATCTGTAAAATGTGTAGAGCTTGCTAAAGAGTTTCATTTGAGTTGGGGAGCTAGATATATTTAGGAACTATTGGATCGATCAAAGCATACGTAAAGCGTAAGAAATTTGACGATATCAAATCTAATTATCCTAGTACAACAAAATCGTCAAGAAGTTATGCTCCTTTTTATTAGTTCTTGATTTATGAGGTAATGCAGGAAATGAAAAAGTATCAGGAGGTAGAGTTTTTGCAAGATAAAGTTCAATCAAGAAAGAAAGATATAATGAACAATATAGAATTTATAAAGAGTATGGAATGGATTATTGAATCTAGTAGTTGAATAAAAATATTAATATCTATGTTTTGTGTAAATACTATTATACCCAAGTGTCGCGTTACGGTGAGTAGTGAATACAGATCTGATAAGATCTAAAAGACAAGAGATTTGAGCCGGCCGAGTGACGAGACGCTCTCAGCCCATTTCAAGGCAGAAGTTCCCATCGACAACACCTAGAGTAGACTGGAGGGCCGTCTCAGTTAAGTAAGATGTCTGTAGAAGCATAAAAGGGTGAGTTTTATTTTACACAATTCATATAACCAACAAATTTAACCAAAATACAGTCCACTACCAAAATAAGTCGAATGTTGCCTATGTTGAACTCATTAGAGTTATTTTCCTTTACTTTAATTATATTTGGAAAGTTGAGTAAAAACAATTCCCTTCAGCCGAATAATCAGAATTATTTCTATAAACAGCTTCGTGTCATTGGCAGAATTAACAAGCATTTAAGAATTTGAGTCAGTTTCTGTTGGAAAGGATCTAAGAGATATATAAGAGATTGCACGTGCTACAATGTTTCATGAAGCTAAAACTTTAAAGTATACGAGGTGTGTGATAAAAGTTACAAGACTGACGGCACTGCGACTGATCTGACAACACTTTATTGTTCTACTTGTCTAGAGAGATTTGTTCATCCCGATGTGCCGTCCCAGTTTCAGCTTTGGGAAGCCATCACATGATTTTTGAGAGTATCGTCAGCTAAGTTAAGTGGTTTACGAAAATGAAATAGTGGGATTTAGAGCAACAATTGCCATTTATGTTAATCATGGGGAATCCGAGAATATGACCTTTAAAAAGTTGAAACAGATCTATGGGGAACCTTCTATATCAAGAGCATAAGATTTTCTCTGGCGAAAATCATTTTTGAAAGGCCGAGAACTCTTTAAAGATAAAGATGAACCTTGCTGGGAGACCTTCAATTTCAAAGATTGACAAAAAAGTGGAACATATGAAGGGTTATAAGGTTCAGAAAAAGGGTGATACGTGTGAGACCGGACATTGCATGCTCAGTGGATGATCAGTGCCTCACACGCCCATGTCCATCACGGAATTTTCGACCTCCCTGTTATTCCCCAGCCTCCTGATCCATCTGGTTTGAATCCTTGCACTTTTTTTATTTTTCTGAAAGTGAGCAATGTCTTTAAAATACATCATTATGGGACTCTGAGGAACATTCAAAAGAACTGTGACCCACATGTTAAAGGCCCAACCAGTTGAAAAAAAAATTAGTCTCATTGCTTTTCTCGGTCACCTCGTACTTCACAATGAAAGATAATTTCTACCAATTGAAAGATTCCTATAGCAATATAAATAAGTAGTTATTTAAACAATGGACAACCTCCTGGAAGAAATAAATTCCTGAGATAAAGCCGAATCTTCGAACCATAAGTTTGGAACCGATAGAAGATATTGTACTACTCAGAACTATAAGCAATGTTTACAAAACAAAATACAACGTAGATGCTCTTTCCGACGCCATTCGTAAATGAAAGAAATTTGTGAACAATGATATTCTTTATTTGTTTAGAGACAAGTCCTTTATTAATACACTATGCAAGGCTTTACAGCTTCTGAGTTATAAAAAAAAAAAAAATTAATTTAAGTTCTTAAAATTTTGCTTTAAGATAACTAATTTGATTTGTGTATTAGAATACCACCGAACCTGATATGAAAAATGCTTTGTGGAATCTTGGTTTCAAAACCTTTTCTGTGCTACCTCCAATCGGTCTTGTTTTATGTTATTTTTTAAGGTGAGGCATTTCTTTATGTATAGTTATAAATATAAGATATTTGTAACAATACAAATCTTTAAATGCTTATACTATTCTTTAACATTGTTTTAGCGCAATAGCTGAAATTTTTGAAGCAACACGCGTCATGTATACAATGGCAAATGATGGTTTGATGTTTCCTATCTTTGGAAAAGCGCATCGTCGATTTCCGAATCATTTTAATTCACATATCTTTTTGGCAGTTGTTTGCTGTAAGTTTTTTTTTGTTTAATTTATAACTATGATGGGAAATAAAATCTCATAATTGGCATGTTGGCTAATATGCTCATGCTTAAAGCCAACATTCAGTATATTTTTTCTCCTAAACTAAAGAACCGGAAGTTTAAAAATATAAAAACTTAAAAGAAAGGTCCAAAATAAAGTTCTGGTGGGCGCTTATTACGAAAAGAATATAGCGCCTATAATGATTTAATATAGCGCCTCTTTTTCTCTTCTTTTTTATAATTTTCGGTTCTCTTCGATATAAGGATTCACTATTATATTATGGGAAGGCGCTTTTTATGAAAATCCTTTCGAATTCAAGATTGAACCATCGCGCATCAGGTTTTGATTATTTGCTGATATCTTCGATCCTCCACTATCATGTTGTGAAAGGAAATTTTATGAACATACTGTCGGATTGAAGATTTTGGATCCACAGTTATTACAAAAATTACACGTTTTATAATTATGCAATAGTCCGATAGTATTTTCATAAAAAGATTATCCGACAACCTAAAAATAAACCTTAATATTAATCAGAAAACATACAAAAAAGCTTGATTTGTGATAGGATGATCTTAAGTCTGACAATATTTTCATAATAAGCGAGCCGAAAATCATACTGAACCGGCATATCGATGAAATCTGAGAAATAACAAATACCTGCTCGATGCGTAATTGTGTAATTAAAATTCAGTAGAATTTTCAGAAAGCGCGTCCCCCATGCGGTATGCGGATGAAATACATTGATGCGCATAGTGAAATACGACAGTATTATCATAAACATCGCCCCCCACATCATAGTGTATTTTCATAAAGAGACAACCCTCCTCTCCCATAATAGAACAGTGAACCCTTATATCAAATAAATCAGCAAAGAATTAATCTGAAATCCAAGTATTTTCATATAAAGCACCCCTCTCCCCAAAAACATTATAGTGGACCGGTATATTGATGAAATCCTATAAGTTACAAATACTTGATGCTACGCAATCTGAAATCCAACAGTTTTTTCATAGCTAATGACCTCAACAACATAATAATGGACCCTTATATCGGAGACATCCATAAAAAAAATCAACAAATTGTATGCGCAATGGCACAATCATAAATCCGGTAGTATTTTCATAAAAGGTCCCTTAAACATAATAGTGGATCCTTGTCGAGGATATGCAAAAAGAATCAAAAACTGTATGTGCAATGCTACAATCTTAAGTCCGACAGTAATTTCATAGAAAGCGCCACCGAAAACATAATAGTGGACCTTATATAGAATAAAACTCAGAAAACTTTAAAATGTGTTTGGCCCGTTTTCAATCGCGTGGGTAATTGGATCAACAATTTCTGTTCTTTTTAGCCAGATTTTAAAATACATACATGTTTATAAGAAGCAATGTCTTTCATTTATGTTTTTATAGTAAAACAGCTAAATATTAAATGTCTTTTAAGGTAAAAATTAGTTTTCGACACTATTTTTTCCAGTTTTCGGCACCCTTTATCTAATTCTGAAAAACCTAAAAAATTAAATCTGGCAGACTTAAGAATGAAAGAACTGTATGTTTCTTGCCAAAAAACTCGTATTTTCGAAAAATACACGTATTTTCTACGTGAAACCTGTCGGGTTTTAATTTTCAGCGATTTTCCTTACCTATAAAACTAAATAAGGGAGTGGGGTAGCTCAGTGGTAGGGCACTGAGCTTCCATTCCAAAGGTCCCAGGTTCGAACCCCGGCTCATGGCAGAAAATTTATTTATCTGTTTCATTTGCCGTGGGGCGATCCTGGGTCGGGAAACCCTCCTGTGGCACACCCAGCCTCTATAAAAGTGGGTAGGTACCCTTAATTAAATAATTGATTAAGGGGGAAAACCTGGCGGTTGAGCGTGATCTCGGTCAAATCACCTCCTTGCACAACCGTTGACCTAGAAACAGTGCTTTCCCTAAATAGTACTGAACCCCAGACCCTTCATGGGTTGTAGTGGTACATGTTTTTGCTTCCTCACTACCGAAGGTAGGGAAGCATTGTGTTCGTGCGAGAAATTAAAAAAAATTTTTTGCTCAGAATCGAAAATTTTCACTCGCGTTTTACGTTTCAGACATCAAGGATCAAATTTGGTTCGGTGTCTGTCTGTCTGTCAGTCTGTCTGTCTGTAGTCAAATCGATGTGACGGGCATATCACCTAGTACCGTTCATCCAATCTTCATGAAATTTTCAGGGATTATGCTGATCGGTGCCTAGATGGTCCCATATCAATTTTATCAAATTCCACCCAGCACTTCCGCTTACGCACGCGCAAACGTATATTTTTAGATATGCCAATATTTCAGAAAGGGCTCGTTCGATTTGGCTCAAAGTTAGATAAAAGGTAGACTTTGGTGAAAAAATAATGTAGTGTCAATTTCATTGAATTGCGTGCAACACTTTCTCTTATATGTGCACTACTAGTCCGCCGTCCGCCGTCCGCGCATTTTTTCTGAAACTACTAGACCGATTTTTTTCGAATTTGGATATAAAATCAGAGGTCACCCGAGGATCATCCTCCTTCAACGACATTACTATTCGCCTTCTAGTTTCAAAATGGCGGCCGAAAAACCTGCGTTGCTATAGACTGTAGCGCCTAAACGAATGAACCGATTTTGATGAAACTTCGCTAAAGTCATTTTCTCTACGCCCTCTAAATTTATCTATACTACATACTTCAACGAAAAGAAGCTCAAAAAAAGTTACGAGGGATGGTAAAATTAAATTCCGAATAACTCAAGAAGTATACACATTTATGTCAATATTGTATATAGTTTTTTAGAAGTTTACGGAATTTCCTATAAAACAAAAAAAAATTCGTCAAAATCGGACAATTAGGAGCAAAGATATGGTCCCTAGTTTTTTTTAGATGTGCTATTGCAAAAGGTTTATCTTTTTTTTTTATTTCTGAATGTGTTACTGAAGTAATGCTATTTTTTTTAGCATATTACTAATGATTAAAAAAAATTTTAGTCCAATAATTAGAATCACCTTTTATTTATTTTTCTTTATAACCAGGAATTTAATGTTACTTTATATGTATAATTGTTTGGAAATAATATATCAAAAAGAAATAATTTGCAGTGGTTTTGTTCAAATTAATTATCGTTTTATATATATATATATATATATATATATATATATATATATATATATATATATATATATATATATATATATATAAATCTTTCGTGCTGAAGCCCCTCCTCCAAAATTAAATCTTGATTCGGTAATGTATATACTATTATTAGAGCATAAGTTCGTATGTAATAATTTTCAACTTTAATTCTATGTGTATTAAAGGTGATATTTTGTAGTCTGCAACTGATATAAGTAGTCTGCTACTATGGAAAATAGCAGATGAAAATAAAATATGAAATTATTCTAATAAAGCATAAAGAAATATTGAGTTTTTATGCACTCTTGTAAAACAATAAATAAATTTATACATAAGATCATTTGAACTAACAGTATTGAAATTCATGTTCAGTATGCATGTTTATTTATTTTTTTATTAAGCATAATCAAGTATGGAATGTTCAAATACGACCCACTGTTGTTGAATGTTGAAGGGTAACCGTTATCGGCTATTCCGATTCTGCTTCTCTCAGAGATTTTATTCTCATACGAAAAATTGTATACCTTGTAATATACAACGGAAACGGTGAGGAAGCTATACTGGCCTTACTTGGCAGACGTTTTTTTTTTTATATAGAATAAATCCGCATAGAATTAAAAGCTGGATGCAAAATGGCTCAATATTAGATCCAATAGTATTTTCATAAAAAGTATATCATAATAGTGGATTCTAATATTAAATAAATCTGTATCTAATCAAAAATTCTGCTTATTTAACAAGTTTTCATTATAGGCTTGGTGGGCGTTTTCATTGGTGTAGCTCCAAGTACTAAATGGGCAATAATTGCAATGGAAACCAGTATACGTATCATGGTTCTTATAGCATATTTGGTGTTAAGGTAAGAATATATACATTATATATTGTTTTTATTTATCGATTACATCAAATTACTGTCATTATTTTTCAATGTTTATTCAATTATAGTTGTTATTGAAGGAACTTAGTCTATTGTAAAACAAATCATTGGTGATAAATAGTCAGAATAGCCATTTTATTATTTTATTGTTGTTGTCGACGTTTCAACTGAGTACTTGATTACATCCAATAATGGAAACGTATCCTGATGATGAACCGCGCTATTGAGTTAAGACCTCGGCAACAATAATAAAATCTTAATATGATTGCATCCTGACTATTTATCACCTATGATATAGTTGTCATATTTTTTCTGTTTCCCCCCTACCTCCTCATTTCATGTATACTGATACGTTTTTTAGACGTACAACAAAGCCTATTCTAACTAGCTTGGAAAGGTGAAATCCATTCTGTGGACCCGCCACGAAATAAATTTCAATCCGCCCAGGAATCATTCCGCCAAGGGAGAGAGTAGAATCCGCCAATTGAATGTATAATAAATATATGAGGATATATATATTGCGCTAATTCCTCATACATTTGATTCTATATTAAATTGGCGGTTTCTCCTCTCTTTTGGCGTAGTGATTCCATATATATAAACTGACAGGCAAAAAATTCCACCCACTTGATTTTTTTCATGTTTTCATCTAAAAATATTTCAGCCACTTGTAAAAAAAGTTGTATTTGTATATAATACATGGTATTTGTACCATGTAATAATACTTAGTATTTATGGAATTTTATAATCGTGTTTACCTTTAATAATCAAAATGTGATTGGGTGAGAAAGATTAGAGAAAAAAAATTGAAAAACGAACCATTATTATTCTAAAAGAAATTAATTACATTATCGTTTAGAGCGTGTTTCCTCCTCTTGCCTTCACTACTTCTTGAAGACGCCTCGGCATACTTTCCACCAGTCGGGAAATGTCCTTTTGCTGGAGGATAGCCCATTCCTCCCGAAGAGCGCTTTCAAGTTCCTGCAGTGTATCAGGAAGTGTTGCACGCGCTCTTATTCGTCTTCCGAGGTTATCCCATAAATGCTCAATGGGGTTCAAATCTGGAGAACGTGCTGACCAGGCTAAAACCTCAATATTGTTCTGTTGAAGGAACGTCTACAATATGCGGGCGACATGTGGGCGTGCATTAGAATAGAACGATTGCCCATTTCGTTGAGGATAGGCACACATGAGGTTCCAAATCTCATCTACATAGCGAATGGCCGTCAAAGACCCTCCACGAACAACAACCAATTCTGTGCGGCGCTCCATTGAAATCCCAGCCCACACCATTAAGAAACCACTTTGGAAAGGTTGGCTCTGGGAAAAACTACAGGCTGCATATCTTTCGTTTCTTCTTCTCCATACCCTTTCACGCCCGTCTGGAGATCGAAGAGCGAATCTTGACTCATCTGTAAAAAGTACAGCACTCCATTCGTCCATAGTCCAATGGCTGTGTTCTCGAGCAAAAGCCAGCCGTGTTACTCTGTGAGTTCTGGTCAACTCTGGTCCTCTTACTGGGCGAAAAGCCATTAATCCATACTCATTTAATCATCTTCGAGCGGTACGTTTAGAAATTTGCACACCTCGAACTTTTTCGAGCTGATGCATCGCTTTAACAACGGTAAGCTGCCGGTTTCGTAAAATTCTCCAAGTCAAAAACCGGTCATTCCGTGGTTCCCGCAACGCGCAATATCCTCAGCACTAAGAGCCATTTTTAAACTTAATATTGAAAAAACTATAAGCCGGAGACTAAGAAATGTGCTGCAAGAAACGGTACTGAACTAATGATACTCAATAAACATTTTGATTCCATAGAAAGTAAACATTGGAATCTAGAATCATTGAATTAAGGATTAAGGGTTATTGTCCTCTATATTCACATTCCTAATTGAAAAAAAACAAAAAGATTACCTATTTATTTATTAAAAACAATAGACCAATCCAAAGCAGAAATATGTTTAGATGAAAACATGAAAAAATCAAGTGGGTGGAATTTTTTGCTTGTCAGTGAATATGCACACTTTTGTATAAATTGAAGCATTCCTTGTCCGTGTTTTTGCCAATAGCTTGTAGCGTGCAACATTGGTTAACAGGGATGAAATTCCGTTAAATCTTCGTCCCGGAAAAAAATTCAACTCTACCAATCTTGATAAAATATGGTCGTGAGGCCGATGTATCGCTGTTTCGAATATTGGTACCTGCTCGAATAAAAAATGCCCGGCAAACAAAAAAATAATTAAGTAGTATAGAAATAACAGAAAGTATTCTAAGTCTACCGATCTCGATAAAATAAGCTTGTAAGGCCATTATGCTGCCCTTTGATTGAACCAAGGGCATAAATTTGAATTTATGTTCATGTCGATCCCTTGATGATTGATTGACACATTTATCGCAATAAAAATAATATTCAAAAGTAAACTAAGTAAGGACTAATAGAATCGAAAATAACGTAAGAGACATGTACAAAGGTATAAACAGATCACGTAAATATGTAGGCCCCGTAACGTCTGTAATTAGGGATGATAATAACAATATTCTGACCGATCCGGTTGACATATTGAATAAGTTTAAGGACCACTTTGACAATATTTTAAATACGGGAAATTATGATCTGTGTCCTCCTTCTGAGTACCAGAGTGCTGAACCGTTAATAGAAGGTCCAAGTAAAGAGGAAGTTGAAGTAGCTATCGGAAAATTAAAATCATATAAAGCAGCGGGAATCGATAATATTTCTACTGAACTAATTAAGGCATGCGGGGAAGCTGGAGTTTCTAAAATACATCGGTTGGTTGAAAAGATCTGGGTGAACGGGAAATTACCTGAAGAATGGAAAGAATCTATTCTTATTCCGATTCACAAAAACGGTCCGAGGACGGGTTGTAATAACTATCGAGGAATTTCACTCCTTCCGGTATGTTATAAAATATTTACTTTAATCTTAACCAGTCGAATCACCGAATACGCCCAGGAAATTATCGGAGACTACCAATGCGGATTTAGACGGAATCGTTCGACTATTGATCAAATATTTTCTTTACGGCAAATATTAGAGAAAAAATTGGAGTATAACGGTAATGTTCACCAGCTGTATATAGATTTTAAAAAGGCTTACGATTCTATTGACCACCAGAAACTGTATAATATTCTAATCGAGCAGGGGATTCCAAAAAAACTAGTAAATCTAGTCAGGATGTGCTTGACGGAGACACTCAATAAAGTTAGAATCGGAAATAATTTGTCCGAAAAATTTGAGGTTCGTTCGGGCTTAAAACAGGGGGATTCTCCTTCGTCTGTCCTGTTCCATTTGGCATTAGAACATGCCATTAGGGAGGTAATGCGTACCGAGAAAGGGTTGGATCTGGGCGAGACAACATCCGTGCTGGGCTATGCTGATGATCTGGTACTGTTAAGCGAAGACGTTGAAACTATAAAACTAAATACGACAACGTTAATGAAAGCCGGTAAAGAACTAGGACTCGAAATAAACGTGGATAAAACAAAATATATGGTTAGCTGCAAAAATGGCGATATTACTGGTGATATCGATATAGATGGTAATATGTTTGAACAGGTAGATAAATTTAGGTATCTAGGTTCTACGATAACTAGAAAAAACGAAATTGAAGAAGAGATTAAGGTTAGACTGAAGGCGGGAAATGCTTGTTATTTTTCTGTGACAAAACTACTCAGTTCGCGCCTCTTGTCCCGGAACTTAAAAATTAGAATCTATAAAACAATTATCTTGCCTACAGTTCTTTATGGATGCGAAACTTGGCCGCTTACAGTAAGGGATGAGCAGCGTCTTAAGGTTTTTGAAAATAAAGTATTGCGTAGAATATTCGGACCGAAGAAGGATGAGTTAACCGGAGAGTTCAGACGGTTACACAACGCCGAATTGCGTGAGCTATATCCGGGTAATATAATTGAGGTAATTTCATCGTGGCGAATCCAATGGGCTTGTAAAGTTGTTGGGGTTAGTTACGAGAGAATTCCTAAAAGGTTAATAATCGCTGTGCCGAATGGTAAGCGTCTGAGGGGTAGACCGAAGCGAAGGTGGGAAGATTGCATTAAAGCCGATCTGAAGGGACTGGGTTTGGACGGCGAACGGTGGAGGGAGGTGTGTAACAAGCGATTGGTGGTGTCGGCATCGAACCTTCGGGTTCGCTAAGCCTTATTATTATTATTATTATTAAACTAAGTAAGGGCGATATATTGGTCTTTAGAATATTGATTTAGGCTAAAATTTTGGGGAGGATAAAAAAGTGTGTGTATGTATATACAGGGTGTTTCGTAATTGCACGGCACTATTTTAGCTATGTGTTCACAAACACAAAATAAACAAAAAAGCACATATCAACATATATCTGAGACCCATTTATTAAACAGATATCAAAGGTTGAAGATTTATTATTATTACAACATTTAGAGTAACTAGTCAAAGGGGCCTCCGTTTTGTTGAATGCAATATTCAGCAGGAAGAATCCATGGTCTTCGTATAACATCAGGATGGTGCTTGATAGTTACTGCGGCTTTTGGGTGCAGGGTAACCGAATGGGCTAAAGCGTGTGCACAGCACCGTCGTTGCCCGGCAACCTGATATATGATTTAAATGATATAAAAATAGTCAAGAGTTCGCGTTCCAGTGTCGAGGGATTCTTTTAAATAGGGATTCTTTCTTCTCACTCCCTGGCCCGGGAAAATCTCGTATAGCCTTAACGGCGAGGACCCTCCCCCCCAAAAAAAAAGTTACTGTGGCTTCTACCATCCGATTTCTTAGCTCTTATTGCGAGTCAACTTACCGTAGAATAAACCATAGACTTCATCCAGCGCCACACAAAATAATCTAATGGCGCCAAATCCGGAGATCATGGTAGCCATTTAACAGGTCCGTTTCGACCAACCCATCGGTCTTCATAAGTTGCATTAAAATAATCAATGACACTGTTAGAAAAGTGAGCTGGAGCACCGCCATGCATAAACCACAATCTTTGCCTAATGCCTAGCGAGATATCTTCTAGGAGTTCATGAAGATTATTTTGCAAAAAATGCAAGCAAGATATACCTGATAGCCTAGGTGGCAAAAAGAAGGGGTCAATGATGTTATCGCTTAGAAGACCACACCCGACATTTAAAGAACAGGTATATTGGTAATATCCAACAGCAGTCGTATGAGGATTTTCTTTAGCCCAAGTATGGATATTTCGAAAATTAAGAATCCCGTTTCTTGTAAAGCAAGATTCATCAGTAACCAAAATGTAGTTCAGGAAAAGTTAGGATCTCGTGCGCATTGTCAAATTAACTAATGGGAGAAATTTCTGCACTTGTTATAACAAATCTTGCCTACTCAATATCTGAAATGGATAAAATTGTTGTTCGCGCAAAGTTCGCCATAAGCTGGCAGAGGAAACATCGAAACGATGAGCCAATCTTCTGGTACTAGTAGTAGGAGATAACTGAACAGCATCGAGCAATTCATCTTCAACGTTTGCAGTTCGTCGACATCTTACTCGTATAGGTTTTAGGGTGCCATTATTCCTAAGGCGTTTTTCAATGGTCTCAAAGTTTTACGATTTGGTATTCTTCGGTCAGGAGATTGATTCATTCACACTAAAACACACAGATGAGCAACTACTGTCATTGCTTATCGTTCATTTGTTTATCAGATGATTAAACCCTGTTATTTAGTATTAAAGACGTTAAACTTTGTACAGCCAGTCTAAATAATAAATCTTTGATATCTGTTTAATAAATTAGTTTGAGATATATGTTAATATGAACTGTTTAGTTCATTTTGTGTTAGTGAACACACTCCTTAAATGATGGAGTGCAATTACGAAATACCCTGTATAAATCGGTTTTTAGAATATTGATCTGGGCTGAAATTTATATATAGATCTAGCCCTTGATGATTGATTGATACATTAGTTCAGTAATTACGAGAATTTTCCATGCGACGTACGAAACTAGAAATATAGGAACGAAAGGAAAATATACTGAAATGTTCCTCTCCTGGTCTATCCCTCTTTTATCCATCAAAATTTGTATATAAAGCGATGTGTGGATGGTCTTAAAATTAGTGTAAAAACCTTTGATCTATCTATGACAGGCAATGAAAATCTCGTAATAATTTCTTTATACTAAACTTTACAATGGAAAATAACTGTTTAATAACTAATTTATGTAGAAACTATAATCATTTATAAGTTGAATATAGAGATATTCTTTCAAATATATATATATATATATATATATATATATATATATATATATATATATATATATATATATATATATGGCTAAGTCAGAGACTGGAGTTATGTGGTTTACAAAAACAAATGGAGTACAGAGGTATTTATTGTCTACCTTTGATATAATTAAAAGGGTTTTTGTTGTTTTAGTGGTAATGATTCCTTAAGTTATAAACTTTAAGCTATAGCTCCATTAAAATTGCACTTCAAAAATGTTATAACTGCTCAAAATTTCCATAAAATAATTTCTATTCAAAGTAGAAAGGTAAATAAAAGTTGAGTGTTGCACGCACCAGATTTTTTAAAATCTTTTATTAAATTCAAATGTTTGACTAACCAATTTTGGATTTTTTTCACAATAAAATATGAAAAAAGTTAGGTGTGTCAATACTTTTTTGATCCACTGTATCTCCAAAAAAATGTCATCTATATATATAATAAACAGTTGGGGGCTCAAGCTGTGCCCTTGCTTTATAACTTTACTCATGGCAAAAAATATCAGACTCTATTCCATTTATTCTATGCCCTATTTTTCCTGGTACCTTATAGCATCAATCCTAGTGGGATATTTTTGTTCATAAGGGCTTTCCACAGTTCTTGTCTAGGGACGGAATCTAATGCAGCCTTCATGTCCAAGTATGTGAGAAATATATTTCTGTTCCATTCCCAAGTCTTATAGTTAATTGTTCTTAGAGAAAAAATGTTGTCTTGGGTTTGATCTGAGGTCTGAAAGCAGCTTGCTCTCCTCCATCATTTCTCAAAGTTTATTCTTCAGTATTGCTGTATTTATCTTATACACAACCTGTGAGAGACAAATAGGTTTGTAATTTCCACATTCACTTATGTATTTTCTTTCTTATATATTAAATCTTTCTTATATATATTCTTTCTTATAAATTGAAACAATTATATTGTATTCTCAATCCTCTGAAATAGCTTTTTCAATCAGTACTTCCTGAAAGAGGCACTGTGGTGTTATTATCAGTTTAAGTCCTCTTTCAAAACATGAAACTGTTTTTAAGGGAAATCATATGAGTGCATACCACTGATATTCAATACTTTTAACCCTAATTAATTGATGTTTTTTTAACTTGTTCATTGCAGTTATTATTACAGATATTATTACCGTACAAAGTTGTGTAATTAGTTTTCCATTGTCAATTTAACTGGAGTGCTTACATATTTGAACAGGTACCAGTGTGATTCTGAAGATTTATCTCTTGAAGAATACGCCCTTAAGAAAAGATGGGTATTGACTAATTTTCCACACGCTTTAAATAAGCCAACTAAGACAACACATACTATATCCATGTTGCTAATATTTCTCTCAGGTATTAAAGTATTACTTATTTGAGATATTTGGTAGTAATGGTTAGAAAATTTAAAAATAATTATCATTGAATTTTCAGTAATAAGCATTATATTGAGCGAACTTATTATGATATTTTTTATTATTGGAACTAATAATACACTAATCTTCCTGAGGATAGGTTTTGTCATATGTATCCTCACTGCATTTATTTCTGTTCAACTTTTAAACCAACAACCTGTCAATAGTCGCAAATATTTCCTTTACAAGGTAAGCTATTAAGAAATTGCTTAACAATTTTTGTAACCTAAATGAAATGTTTTTTTTTATATTCTAGGTTCGAGGGATACCATTTACACCAATGTTAGCCATTACTTGGTATTCACTGATTCTGATGTTTCTTCCTCCATATATTTGGGTCAAGATCTTTTGCTGGTATTTATTAGGTATTTATTTATTATTTAGTTTATCCTCAAGATTTTTGGATGTAAGCATACTATTTGCCTTCTTCCATAGCTCTACAGCCTGCGAGGAGTCACAGCCACCTGAAGTAAAGTTTGCCATTCTTCTCGATTTTGTGCCGTAGCTTTTCAGACCTGGATCCATAGACTGGTGCATGCATCCACCCATCATAGCCTAGGCCACCCTTTCTTTCTGGTGGTGTGAATTTGTTCTCCCTTGATTGTCCTGACCGCATGCCCAGTTTATCTGAGCCAACCAACCCTGATGAAGCGCACTACATTGCAATCCTTGAAGAGCTCCGAGAACTCTGAGTTTGGCCTGATTCGCTACCTAGGTGGCATTGAAAGTCACTTTAAAGATTCTTCTTAGTTTCTTCTTTCATATTGGAGTAGTTTATTTTCCTGGACCTTGGATAGAATATAGCTCTCAGATCCACATGTAAGCAATGGTCTAGTCAGAATTTTGTACAATTGCAATTTGGTTGTGAGTACAATATTCTATTTTTCATCAGTTGCACTAGTCCAAAATAACATTTGTTAGCTGCAACAATTCTTTTTTGAATTTCCTTCCTCATGTCGTTATCCTGGGTTATTATTTTTTCTTTCACAATTTCTAAAATGCGTCATCAAAAAGAAGCCCTTGATTGGACATAGGGAGAAGCAGATAAAGGATGGAGGGAATGGGCTAGCCTAAAACAGCCCAAGCAATTAATTATAAACATTACCTCTTTAGAATGAAATCGCTGCTGAGCCTATAAATAAGACTTCCTCCTTCTAATGGTTAGATCTTATGGATTACAATTCGAAAAGTTATTCTAGCATTAGCTAAACAGGCTGGAGAGCCCAGTTTCTGGACTTGTTCCTTCCTCCGGCAATACCAGTATATGATGCTATCTGCAATTTATTTTGTGTATTTAATTAATAATGACCACCTCTAGTGAATTTAAGGATTTTCGGGCTGAAACCCTCTCTCCAAAAATAGAAAGTAAACAATTTTTTTCATTTTGAATATTTAATATTTGACCGTTGCATTATAAAGGAAGGAGATGGTCCAGGGTGTCGATCATAAATAGTTTAAATAGTGGCAAAACTATTTAGGTTATTTATGACCACCATCCCGGACCATCTTCTTCCTTTTTAATTTTTTTCATTGTTCAATATTTGTTTCTATGAGTAATCTGAGCCAAATACTTAAACGCTTAAAACATAACCTCTGTTTAAATTACAATGCATATGCGCATCAGCTGATAAATGTAATCATAAATGAAGAAAATTGTAAATATGTTACCCCTAAAAGGATAACTATTCTTGCAATGGCTGTTATTACTAACTTAAAAAAAGTTTTATTATTTATTTCTTTGACTCTCACCAGAGCATCAGACACTATATCAGCAGCAATTTGCCTCATGATCCATGATCCATGATCTGTCGAACCGTCCTAATTTTTTATCTTCAAACCTGCGCGTCTCTCTTGGTCTGACATTTCTTCTCCTTCCCTGAAGGTTCCATTGTAGGATTGTTTTTCCTATTCCCTCATCTTTTATCCTCAGGCATCATAGGCCAACTTGAAATCTACAAACAGATGGTGTATCTGGAGGTTGTTTCCTTGCCTTTTCTAGAATCATCCTGAGAGTAAAGATTTGATCTGTGGTGGATTTGTTTCTTCTAAATCCACACTGTTACGCACCTATTTTTCTCTCAGCATATGGAAGTAGCCTTCTATAACACATTGGAGAAGATTTTCAATGCACTATTAAGTAGAAAAAATACTCCCACAATTACCACACTTGAACTGATTCCCTTTTTATAAATCAGGCATATTACGGCATTCTTCCAGGAGTTAAGCATCACTTTATTAGTCCAGATTGCAAGGAATGCCCCTCTCAGTTCTTTTATGAGATCTTCTCTGCCATGCTTGAATAACTCTGTCGGTAAATTATCACTGACAGGCACTTTGTAATTTTTCATTTTACTGAGGACTTCTCTAATCTCTTACTCACCAGGTGGCTCCAAGTTGCTTTCTGCTAGAGGAATTAGTTGATTACATTCCTCCTCTGTTTCCTCATTCAACAGGTTGCCAAAATGTCTTGCCCCACTGGTCTAATATCTCATTCTCTTTTATCGTCATTGCACCATCTTCTAATCTACAATGACTTGTCCTGGGATTGAAGGGGGCCATTTCTAAATTAATATTTTGGAAAAACGCTCAGCTTTCTCTTGCCCCTCCAATTCAGCTATTCTATTTTTCCCACCTTCTCTCTTTTTTCTTCTATGAAGTTTTTTCTATTTTTTTTTTTTTTTTTTTTTTTTTTTTTTTGTCTGGTAGAGTTACCTTGATACTCTGATTCAGAATCGATCTATTTGTATGCTCTGTTATTTTCTTCAGTGATGGACTTGCATTCATCGTCAAACCAATTATTTCTAATGGCTGATTCGTTAAACCCTAGAGCAACTAGCACAGCATCCTGTATGGCTTTGGCACAATGATTCCATATAACTTCTGAATCATCACTTTAGTGTCCAAATTTGCAAAATTTAACAATACGAGCTGACTAAAACTGCCCTGAATTTCCTGATTTTTCAATCTTAAGACATTATATAATATAATTAAATATAACAAGTAATCACATTTAATAAAATATTAAATGTAAAGATTTTTAATTATCAAGAATGCAAATTTATAAAATATGTTATGTTTTATTTATTAAATAGAATATTAAGCGTATAGGTGTTGTTTATTTGATTCTTAGCATTCCACAGTCCATGAATCAATTTAGCCTTCAGCTTCCATTAAATTTATCATAACAAATAATAATTCAATATTTTTAATCCAATCCATATTTAAACATTACATATATATATATATATATATATATATATATATATATATATATATATATATATATATATATATGTATGTATGTATATGTGTATATATATTTGTATATCTTATAAATTATAATATAATTTAAAAAGGTATATAATTAGTACTATACGAAAATCAATCCTGTCTTTCACTCTATCTATTTTAAATAATAATTGTCTCTCCTATTCTAGAAGGAATGCACCAATATAATGTAATTATGAATTTTACACATCTAAATAGATCAATACTATCCTTAGTTCTATAAAATAAAAAAAGTATATATATAATCTCATAAATTGAAATCAACTTTTTTCAGGATTATTATTTTATTTCTCTTATGCCTGCCTGCGCTCAGTAGAATACCGAAAGCATGAAGCTGTAGGAGAAGTTGAAAGGTAGATTTATTTGATATATTATTGCAACCAACAAACATATACATGCATGCACAGAATCACTCACTCACTCATATATATATATGTGTGTGTGTACTTATATTGTAATTTTCTCATTGTTGACCTGAGTAAGAGTAATATGAGTAAAGGTAGATTTATTTGATATATTATGGCAACCGAACTATATTCAAAATGGTGAGAGAGATCAAAGTTTAAACCATGCAGATCTTGATAGGAAGGCAACAAAGAAATCAGCCTTTAGACTTTGACTAGATTGGAAGGCTGAAGACCTGTGTATGTCAAGGAAACTGTTATCAAAGGAATCAGCCTCATTTTTTAGTGATTTATGGTGTTAAATAAAAATTGATTATTTGTAACACTTAGACCCAGAAAAATCGAGAAGAACTGTGATTCATGCTGGTCAAAACTCACTTGTGCTAATCCATGCTTCGCCAACGGAGCGAGAAAAATAGAGTCGAGATAGATTCGAACTGTGCGTATTATGCGATTTTAGGTACAATATATGTATATATTAACTCTTTAATCTCGGGAATGAAGACTTGGTTTTTCACTGTTAAAACATTTTTTTGGCAATGTAGAAGAAGGCGAAAAAAAGGAAATAGTGTAGAAAATTTTCCGGATTTTTATTTGTTATTGTCTCTTGAATAGATACTACAATTTTCACAGTTCCAACCATTTCCGAACTGCTTAGAGGTAGGCCAATGGAAACAGTAGAAAATTTTCTGAATTTTCTTTCGCTTTTCCTCTATTATTAAGTGAATGGATGCTCGGTTGTTCATCATCAACACTTTTCCAACTGTTTAGAGTTTGGCAAAAATGGAGAACAAGTGCAAAACTTTTTCAAATTTTCATTCGCTTTTCCTCTTTTATGTCAGGAATGAAGGATCTGTTTTCCAGTATTCCAATCATTTTCCACCAATGTAAAAGTAGGCGAAAATAAGGAAATAGTGTAGAGAATTTTCATTTACTTGTCCTCTTTAATCTCAGAAATGAAGGATTGGTTTTCTAGTGTTCCAACCATTTTCTGCCAATATAAAAGTTGGCGAAAATAAGAAAATAGTGTAGAGAATTTAAATGATAATTTAGGGTTATAGAAAATCATATTATATGAGAAAAAATATACCCAATTGGCAGATGCTTAAATCATCTACAAAAACATACAATTCCAAATACTATTGTCAGGAAAAAAAGTTATAGAACTGAAAGAATTAAAGGTGATAACATAAATCACTGTTTGAAATTAAAATAGATAAAAAATTAGGTTATAATTGGAAAACTTCTAAACCATACAATTTTATACAAATTGCAAGCAAAAAAAAAAAAACAAAAAGAAAGAATAAAATCTTCAAGAAGAACATGTAATCGAACATCATTTGAGCATGCGATGGGATGTCAAGGAGTGAAGTTCGATCAGCTTTTCTTTTCTGTCCTGAGCAATTCTTTCAGCCAGGAAACATTTTAATGCTCCAGCTCTATGCAAGGTAAGAACATTCCATGTCGCCAACTTGAATTCCATGCGAACGCCAGGTCAATACTGTTTAGACTGTCCGAATCCGAGGCAATTTCCTTGATGTTTCATAGTTACAAGAAGTTTTGAGTGTGAGGAGCAGTTGATGGTACTAGTTCACAAGAGTTCCGCATGGATTACGCATGGTTCACAATCACTTCGGTCACACTTGTTCATGGAATCCCGAATGCCTTCGGGTTTATCCGACAGAGAATGAAGGCGACCGATCTCTTGAATTAGTTATTACGATTAACTTTCCCGCCATTTAAGTACTTCTATAACCTTAAACATGCTCAGTTATATTAATGTTATTTAAGGTATTGACTTAAATTCGAAATTTAGACTACACATTATGAAATCTGAATCGAACATGTACATATATTATATATCTGTGAAAAAGGAATATTAATAGATAAAAACATTTAATTATTACATCTCTGAATGATATTTCACAATATTTTTCTTATTTATGATTTCTATTATTCATTATCTCGGAATTATCAGATATTCTTCATCAGTTCTTTTCTCAATACGTTAATTCCTTTCTCAAAAATAAACACGATTTTTTTATTTTACGAATGACTACAATAATCGCCATTCAGATTATTTAATATCCAAAGTATGAAAAACTCTTTTATACAATTTATAAAAGATAATATACAACAGTATATGCGTATTTTTTATAGCCACTACATGTAAGCACGTGTTAATAAAAATTTTATTTCTAAAAGCATTTTTTTTTTACAGGCCTTGAAGAAAGGACTCAAACATTATTTTATATATGTTTTCTTTTTCTTTCACAGTAATGACCGTTATAATGCAAATTAATAATTAACTAATTAGTAAATACATTTTTAATAAGGAAGTTCCACGAAGGAAATACTTTTTTTTTCTTCAAAAATGCATGAAAAAGGATGAAAAGGTACAATAGCTGACGTCATAAAAGACGACAACATTCGGCTGTTTTCGGGATTCCATGAACAAGTGTGATCGAAGTTATTGTGAACCATGCGTAATCCGTGCGGAACTGTTGTGAACTAGTACCCAGTTGACCCCCTGCTCAACCTCCAAACTGGTGGACCAGTCCTGTAACCCTAGAAAGGGGTCCTCACTGGGTCCCCTATCAGCCAGGCCAGCTCAACCTTTTTTTAACGTTTTTTTAACGAGGTTTTTACTCCTCCCCCTCCTCCTTTTTCAATCCTGACGACTTGGGACAGACAATGGTGGACTTTAAAAAAAAACAAATAAAAAAAACTTTTTAATTTTGAAAAACATAATAAAAAAAGCTGTACTAAAAAAAAAAATTAAAATAAAAAATACAATAAAATAGAAAAACAAAATTGAAAAAATGGCTTTAAACACAATAGTTCCACTGCCAAGGCAGTGATGCCAAAGGGGTCAACAAATAATCAGCTAAATAATCCCTTACATTATTGTGCCCCGAAGTGGTGTCAATCCTGTGAGGTTGGCAGGACCAATCATTTTTACATTTCGTTCCTGTTGGTATGAATTGACACCCCTCTTTGTTTCTTATGTAAGTATGCAGAACGCAAATTGACTTCACCATCCTTGCACCATCCATCATCCTTGCATCATATGGGTGTACTCAGCAACTGTGAAATTTTCCAATCATTCCAAAGACACATTCAACAGTCTTTCTTCCTCTACTTAACCCATAATTAAAAATTCGCTTTTTGTTATGCAAAACTTTTTTTGAATATGGCCTTATCAAATAAGAAGATAGTGGGAAAGCTTCATCTCCCACAAAATAATATACCAGCAAAGTTAGTTTCAATCATGGTAAAAAAAAAAACCTGCATCACAACATCCCAAAAGAATTAAAGAATGGAATGATTTGTAATTAAAATTGGGAAGTTTCTTAATTCGGATATGTCTGCTATCAATGGCTCCAATATAATTTGGGATGTTCCAAACAGCATGGAAACGTTCAGCAATTCTCTTCCATAATTCCATAGTTGGGAGTGGTATACAAATATCTTTCAAAACAGTCCATATAACATAGGTAGTTTCAGACACAATTCGCCCAACACGACTCCTCGGCAAACGTAAAGCCCCAGAGAAACAAATGTAGGCACTATAGCCAAGTACCTAGAAATAAACATCAGTTAAAAACGAATAGAATAATAACTTTAAAATTTGTGTTTGTAATTAAATAGTGATGACATTTTCAATGTAAAACGATTACGTATGTGCTTAATTTGTTACAGTGATTGAATGTAAGGAAAAATGGAGAAACTTATGAAGCACATTTGTAAAATATATGAAACCAAAACCAAGGGGTAGTGCAACATCAAAGAAAAAGGCATACTACCTCGCAAATGCTATGCAATTTGCTGTGTCCTTTTTAAAAGTAGGTGGTAATACGAGCGGTATTTTGCCTAAAATAGACAATGAAATGACTTCTCTCTCACCTGAAGCTCCCATAACGAGTTATACCCCACATATTAATGTTTCTGAAGAAGTACTTTCTGAATCAGCAGTGGACCAACAATATGGTTCAGTATCACCCCAACCCTCAGTATCTACACCACGACGAGAACTTTTGGGGAGCCAGAGATGCAGCTTGTCGCCTTCTGATCCACAAGGTCAGCATGGCAAATCAAACCAGAAAAAAACAAAGCAACAAACATACAAAATGAAACTGACAAGGCCTTTTTGGAATACTTTGCCGTCAAGAAGGAAAAATTTCTTCCACTGACAAAATAAAGAGGGGATAAGAGATTTTTTAAAGAGCCTCATCCCCAATTTTATGAAAATGGATGACGTTCAGTTGGGAACGTTCAAGAAAACATCAATAGAAATTATTGAGCAGATAATGTTTACACTCCCAGAAGTTTTCTATCGCCCCAGTAATGTTATGATACAAAATTTTCAAGAGAAAACTACATCAAATATCCCACCTACCATAATCAAATCTCCTTCAATTTGTCCATCTGCAGAATGTAATTCACTCCTTCTAACAGATTCCTCAAGATGTGGATATTTAACATCAGATATGTTAGATATCCTAGACATAAAGTGGTCAACTTGACATGCTTGGCCTCACAACCTCACCTGCAGGAATTGGCATGAGGTTTTCTCCCTTAATTAATTAAGAGTACTCACTTTATAGAGGTTGTGTACCCTAAGAGGGTCATATAATAAAATATGTATATATATATATATATATATATATATATATATATATATAAGGTTAAACTCGATCGAAACGTCTCTTTATAACAGTCCAATAAGAAATCAGCCTAAGACAAGGAGTCCTTCAAATTAAAGATAAACAGTTCCATCACCCATAAAGAAAACCGAGAATACCAGAGTTATCAATAACAAAACATTTTCTTACGTAAAATACTTTAAGTTTTGTAAATTTATTACTATTTATTTTTGTACCTACCATTTTAAACGTATTAAATTTTTTAATTTTTATTAGTTGAATAACATTATTTTTTGCTATGCCTTCTATTTTATTTGTTGTATTAATAAATTTCTGAACATTTTCACTTTTATAATTATTTGTGACAAGTTGATCCATGCACCTAATTCGCATAGTATATAGGCCACTGAAGAAATGCTAATGGGATATGAAAATAAGTAAATGAAATGTATTATTGATTAATTTTTATGGACCAAATATACAAATTTAAATTTGTTAAAATGGTTCTTTTTTTTATTTTGTAGATAATTTAAAGAATTTCCTAGTTATGGGCATTGTTATCAATAAATTGAACGCTTTTGGAGTTGTATGCAAGCAAAGATTTTCTCATCTTAAATTTTTTATCTGACTTTTCTGGAAGACATGCTTATTTTTCGCAACTTAAGGCAGGGTGAACATAGATGGTTCAATCATTAGCTTCCATAAAAAATTAACGGTGGAATAATTACAATGGAATATGCATGACAAACCCAATAATGAAACTGTTAGGTAGAACGATCAAACACACGATGGGAAACAAAATTCTTTACATGGAAGAACATTTGTTTGTTTCTCTGCAGGTAAGTATTATATTTACACTCAGACAGATTTCATAAAAATTGAAAAGGATAGGCATGATTTTCATAGAACTCGAAAAAGGCTACGACAGTGTCGCATAGATATTGCTTAGGAAATATCTTGAACAAGCTGGTACTGGCTCTGATGTAGTGTAGGAATGATAATAAAAATATATAGATATTACATATACACAATGAAAATCGGCTATTTCATATATATATATATATATATATATTTGTAAACTGTATACATTCATATTGGTTAGGCAAATAAGTCCTTTTGCTTTTGCAAGCTAAAATAAAACTTATTGTATTATAAACATAAAATTTATTTTAATCTACAATATATTGATTGTATTTAATATGACCCATCTTTCCACTAACTGCATAATACCATGTTCATAGAATGTCTGGAGTTTGTTGTTAACAAACTGATCCAAGTGGTTTTTTATGTCCTCTTCCTTTTCGCAATTTCTTTCAATTTATGGAGTTCTGCAGAGACCAGAATAAGTGGTAGTCACTTGTAGCTACATCTGGTTAATAGGGATGATTGGACAAAATGTCCCATCCAAGGCTAGATAATTAATTGCAAGTGACCATTGTAATTATTCCATTTAATGAGCTGTGGGGCCTAGGTGGAACACAACACTCTTCCGATCATTTATAATTCTTCAGGATGTTACCGAAATTCTATGTTACTACATCCATTGGAAAGCTGAATTATTGCTCTTCAAATCCATATGAATGTTTTTTTTTTTTAATTTAATCCCTACATAAGTAATAAATAAACAAAAACTCCTTACAGGTTTTTATTTTTTCTCTCCATTTGTAGTTTGTTTACGAAGGTCATTTTATGAAGTTTATGTGGCCCTAAATTTGTGACAAATTTCTTGTGGATAGCTATAGTCAAATTGAAGTTATAACATTTTTTGTGATTTTCCAAAAAAAATCATGTGAGGGACCCAAACATTAAGCCTGAAAACATAGCTGATCTTGTGCAAATGGTTTTCTACGCTTGTGTGCGCCACATTTAGGACCATAGCTATCTCTCACACTGATTGGGTGGGTTTTGATCATCAACGGCCTTAGCATTGCTCGTTCACTTATATGCAGACGACCAGACCGTTGAGCATCATTGATGTCAAAATTTAATGAATGAAATTTGGCAAACCAATTTTAACAGGTGAGTTCGGTTAAGGCATCATCCCCATAAACACTGCAAAATTTTCTATGAGCTTCTACAGCAAGCTTACCTCTTTTAAAATAATACAACAAAATATGCCGATAAGGAATGATATTTTCTTCCATACTCACAGTGCAATAGCAAACACAATACTAAGCTAGTTTCAACAAGAGTTAACAGATATAGTTGTTGACATATTACAAACAAGATAAACAATCCATCTTAGAGATTAATTCATCACATAAGAAGTGTATCATAGTGACATAAAAATAAACAGAAAAACCGAAAGGACTTATTTGCCAACCCAATAGATTGTTACCAATAGGTAGTTTCTCTGCAAGTCTTTTCTTGTCATCATATTACTATACAAGAGTTACTAAATGTATTTTTATTCTAATATAGTTGTAAATTTAATGAATAAGAAAAAAATAAAGAAAATAACTCAAGACATTCACGTGATCATATAGACATTTAAAACACATCAACTGGGCACGTTTCGAAGGAATCTAAGTGGATCCTTAATTCCTGAGTGGACGAAATTAGTCCCATCTCGATTTATCGATTTACCAACATTGGATATTTGAAACCACTGATTTTCTCAATAACTTTTGATGGAAATTAAGGGATATAAATCGGACTGTGCTATTTCTCTACGAAATTCCATTTCAGTTGATACCTCATTCATCAAAATCCAATGCTCTTGGATGGTGGGAAAAAGATATATAAGATACTACAGTATTATGTATATTTCAGATTTCTATTATTTAATTAATTAAGGTTACCTCAATGATATAAGAATTCGCTCTTCTGCACTCATGCATTCCCTCATATTTCTGTTAGCTTATTAAATGGCTGGAGCAACAGCCACCATTAGTCCAATATAAGTTTTTTTTGACATTCTGTAAAATGCCAAAAATGTGTCACTTTCTTCAAATTCTCTTGTAGCAACAAACAGGTGACAATTAATGTTTCTTTCCAAGTAGGAATGCCTCCATACTTTCTTCTTTTGATTTATTTTAATCCACTGCTGCCAATAAAACATGACAATGACTTCCTCAGCACTAGAACTATTCATTTTCAAATTTTAAACAAAACAGAGTCAAGTTAACCATAAAACATAAACACATGATTCTACCGGTTTACTTTCAAACACTAGTATGCCTTCTTTTGTTATTGAACTTGCATGGGTTATCATTGACGTATGCTTTATTCCAAAACATTCCGTTTTAGATGGTCAAATTTAATTCAGTGTTCGTAACTTTTTTCCATTTCCGCTGTGCGATTGGAAAAATTTTGAAACGATCAAAAACCGAACAATAATTTTAGAAATAAAAGAGGCAAAGCGAATGAAAAGTCGGAAACTTTTTACCACTACTATTTCTGTCGGCTTACCTCTTAACATTAGGAACAGTGAAAATCCGAGTACTCAATTAAGGAGGAAATTGCAGAAAGTTTTTACCAATACTGTTTTTATCGGCATACCTCTTAATTAGGAAAAGTGAAAATCCTAGCACTCATTTAGAAGATAAATGAGAAAAAGCGAATGAAAATTCAAAAAACTTTTTACACCATAAAAAGTCATCAATAAAATGGATAAAAAGGAATAGAAACAGGAATCAGTTTTTATTATTAAATATTAAATACGGTCTACATATAAACAGTTGGAAAATGGTGGGAACAGAGAAAATCCTAGCGTTCATTCATGTAATAAAAGAGGAAAAGCTAAAGAAAATTCGAAAAATTTGTACCACTACTGTTTCCATTGGCCTAACTAAAACAGCTGGGAAATGGTTAGATCAGTGAAAATTTGAGTATCCATTCCCGAGATAAAAGAGGAAAATCATATGAAAATTCGGAAAATACCTACACTATTTACTTATTTTCACTGACTTTTACATTGGCGAAAAGTGGTTAGAATACTCGAAAACCGATCCTCCATTTTCGAGATGAAAGGAGAAAAGCGAATGAAAATTGAGAAAAGTTTTACACTTGTTCCCCATTTTCGCCAAACTCTAAACAGTTTGAAAATTATTGGGACGATGAAAAACCAAGCGTCCATTCAACTAATAAAAGAGGAAACGCGAAAGAAAATTTGAAAAATTCTAATACTATTTCCTTATTTTCGTCTACTTTTACATTGGCGAATGTAAAATGTGTTTGCTGTTCTCCTCGATTTTTCTCGTGTGCGGATGGTCTTACTTTAAGTAATCTTGGCAAAATTGCAATGTCAGTATTATTTCTATGTAATTCGCTATTATTTCTATGTAATTCACATGTTGATATATATATAAAGAAGTTAATGACATTTATTCAAATAAATCATAAAATTAATTATAAAAATCATATATTTTTCTCATTTTCAGCCCTTCTGAAGTTAGTTTGCCTTCAGCTTAAGGCCTAAGGCATGTGGCTCGTCATATTAAGAAGTGAGGACATCTGTTTGAATTATTTTGAAATAACATTATTAAAGAATGTAGCCTTGTTGAATGTTGTTTTATTTTAATAATTTTATAAACCTGTAACTATTTTTATTATTTTTTTAAAATGTTAATATTATATTTAAATAGTAATAATGTGCGAATTTACCAGATGTATTTTTTGTATACAGTTGTAAATTTCATATAAATAAATAATAAAATAAAAAAAAATAGTAATAATGAAATTATATATATCCCATCCCATTTCTTTCATCACACGACCTAATCCAAATTACAAACAACCTATCAGTGAAATCCTTTACTTCCAAAACGGTTCATTTTAGTTTTTCTCCCTGCCTTGTCTTACAGGTTTGTAACAGCAGTGGGGTATTATATGCGTATGCCACTGCTGGCAGTATAGGTCTATTTAATTATAATTTTGTTTAACAATATTATTTATGAGGTGTAGACTTGTTTGTGTGCACAAGTCCTTTTCATTTTCCCCTATTCTTCCACCTGAAGCCGGTCCTCTAAGCAGCTGCAGCTTGTATTAACTTCCTTCTCTTCTTTCCAGATTTAATATATTTAGGGCCTACATCATCTTTCCACCTGTATACGAATTCCCTATAATGTGGGTAATGCGCTCTCTGTCAGCGAATATATCCCTCTCAGGAGATCAATATTGTTCCCGTGCTTAACGAGCTTTGCTGTTCCACTGTGTCCTCCCAGATATTTTTTTTTCCATCTGCTTGGGTCTTCATCAGTTCTCATCTTTAGATGTTCCTCGAGATCCGCCGAACCTTCTCTTTTAATTTTAAAAAGTGATTGTCTTCTCTCAGGAGGAGATCGAGAGGTAGCCCCCTTTCAGTACTTGCACTGCCTCGTGAGATACCGTTCTATAGACTTTAGTGATCCGAAGTAAAGCCAATCTCAGAATCGATGCTAGGTCTATTCTTCTAGTAGTGAGGTGTGCGAGAAGTTTAGGTTCCAGGCCGTGGACACATATCTCAGAATACCCAAAACTACTTCTTTGTATATAATCATTGTAGCTGAGTATCTGAGACCCCCGAAGGCGCCTCTGACACGACTGAGTCCATTTAGGGCTACTGTGACTCTATTTCTTATATAGTCCAAGTGAGGAGTCACGTTGCACTTTTTATTTATGTTGAACCAATTTATATGCCAAGGTAGGTGACCTCACTTGAAAATACCCTTTCTTCTTCTATACTCAACATAATATGATGGGCTCTATCAGTCGTGCCCCTCAAGAGCATTGCCTGGGCCTTTGTTGCAGCCATCTTGAACTTCTTCCTTTCGCACTATCTTCCTACCAAACTGGCGCATCGTTCAGTTTTTACTTTCAGATCGGCTGTGCTTTTTGAGGCCACTACGACCGCCAAATCATCAACATAGGCCGTGGCAAAGAACCACTCCTCTTCGAGCTTCTCCAGCAACTCGTCAAAGTCTAGATTCCATAAGGCAAGACCCAGAACAGATCCCTGTGGGCAGCCCCTCTCAACGGTGTATTCTACTTCAAAGAATCTGCCCCTAATTTTCAATATCCGGTTCTGGAGGTAGATCCTCACGAGGTCATATATGTTACTGGGAGTTTCATACTTCTGAAGTTGCTGGAATACACTCGGCCACCACACGCTGTCAAATGCAGAAGATATGTCAAACAGGAGAAGCATAACACACCTCTCCGCTCTTTCTTCTACGTCATGACGCACTCTCAATATGGCATTTGTGGTTCCCTTGACTTTAGTGGATCCATATTGTAGTGGATGGCTCGATCTTGATAAGACTGGCCGAAGGTTCAAGCCCACCAGGTTTTCCAATACCTTACTCATTACAGAGAGGAGATAAATAGGTCTGTATGATTTGGCAAGTTGTTGGCCTTGTCTCTTCCTTTGTAGAAGAATCTGACATCTGCAACTTTCCATCTTCTTGGAAAGTATCTCCTATCTAGGCAGTCGTTGAGAATCGCAACCAGCCTTTTCTCTCAATAGGGAATACTGTTCTTCAGCATTGCCTCATCAATTGCATCTAAACCTTGGACCCGGCCAATCTTTTGCCTTTCCACGGCACTACGGAAGTCCCAAATGTCCCATGATGGGCACAGGTCTGTCCCAGGCGGGTATACCGTGGCTCTTCTCACAAATGCATGGTCATTATCATCCTGTGATGGATCATCCATGGGATATGTCTCTTTAACAAACATCTTCTATGTTTCCTCCAGAGTGGCTGCCTGATTGCCCCCTTGCTCCAGAGCCGCAATGACTTGCAGTGTCAGTTTTCCAAGGGCCACCCTGTATGGGATACCCCAGGGATTCTTCGCTGACTCTTCCTGGATGAATTCATCTCATGATCTTCGCGCACCTCATTACAGTATACCCTAGCCTTAGACCTGTATTCCTCACGAAGTGTATGCCTCTCCTCGTAACTACACCTCTAATATGACCGCAGGACCATGTAGAGCTCTCTCTTCAGGGTGGTTAAGGACGGTGAGCACCATGGGACAGGTATCCCTAATGACTTCGGTAATCCTGGATACCTTGTAATCAAGATCATCCGTATTGTCACATCCGTGGTTTCCCACTCTTCATCCACTTGCTTTCCCTTCAGCGCTGATCGGAAGAAGATCCAGTCTTCTTTCCGGGTCACATATCCACTGTCTATACCGTGGGATCATCTTGCGTTCTGTGTGCATACAAATGTTATCAAATGTAATTGAGCTGTGGTCGGAGCTTATTTCTGATATGAGGGTCCAGTCGACAATGTGTACTATTAGTGTCGGAGAGGTCAACGTAACATCTATCCAACTTTGCCCCCGTGGTCCAGAGAATGTTGGGGTGGCAGACGGCTCATTAACCACTATGGCCTCTTGCAACGAATTTCACAGTCTGACACCACTCCGGTCTGTTCGACTGGAACCCCAGGCCGTGCTCCAGGAGTTGGTGTCCCAGCAAATGATCACATTCCTATATCTTCCAGTGATCGATTCCATGGCGGATATACCCTCTCCTATATCACTTGCGTTGGGTAAGTATAACGAAGCAAGGATGAAGGCGATGATGCCCCATTTGATGTAGCATGCTACGCTCTCCGTCTTAGAATACTGCTCAAGACTCATCATATCGAGATTTGGGTTAGTGATTATTATTGTAGCTCTAGGCCTACTTTTTCCATACACTTTAACCTCAGCTATAGATGAAGATATGGAAGTATTAACTACTCCAGACACCACAACAGGACTAATCCGGAAACGAAGGTGTAACGTTTTCATTAGATCAGTGGTAATTAAATTAATTTGGAAACCTGAATCCACCACCGTTCTGCATGAATACCACTGATCTGAATTTGAACAAATTCTACCTAAGCCAGTGACCAGAAGTATCTGTGAGTTGGTGGTAGCATGGCACGAAACTGCACGAGAATTGTTTGTTACTTGAGATTGGGAGGGCTTAGTGCTTGCAGTCTTATGTAACATTGTATGGTGACTCTTATTGCCACAAACTTGGCAACAGCCTTTACTTTGGCAATTAGGCAAGCGATGAGATAGGGAAGAAAAGCATAAATGAAACTTCTTTAGCAGGTCATAACGACCATTACCCCTGTCATTTAGAGACTGAGGACACTTTATAATTTTATGACTCAATTTACAGACTGGACATTCTAACTAAAATCTCTGGTTATCCCTTCTATTGTGATTGCTGGTTAAAAATGTTTTCCCCTAAATTTTAGGCTTTGAAATTTTGGAAGTAGAAGGCTCAGAACACATTTCTGCGACTCTAAGTTGTGATCAAACAAATTTGCTAAATTCTTGAAAGTTAGGGAACTTTCTCTTCGCTGAGACTATTCTCAAACATTCTTCTCATATTGGGGTCTACAACGTTCAGTCCGAGATGCAGCAAAACGAAATCAGCGAGGTTATTGAGTTTAAGATTTGAGTTTAAGAAAAAGCTTCTAAAGTTGGAAGAATTATCCACAGATGATTTAAACTGTATAATTTTGTTAAGACGGTAGGCTGCAATGATCATTTTATTACTGTAACGCTTTACTAGTTTATCATAGGCCAAGCTGTAATTTTCTGCGTTAAACTCAATTGAAGATACGGCCTGCGAAGCAGGATGGACTAAAAGTGACTGGAGATATGAAAATTTTACTATATCTGTATAATTTCGATCATGAATTAAGGCATCAAATATTGATTTAAATGAAGGAAATTGTCAAATTCCTCAATTTTTTGGACAGTACGAACAATTTCCTTCATTTAAATCAATATTTGATGCCTTAATTCATGATCGAAATTATACAGATATAGTAAAATTTTCATATCTCCAGTCACTTTTAGTCCATCCTGCTTCGCAGGCCGTTTCTTCAATTGAGTTTAACGCAGAAAATTACAGCTTGGCCTATGATAAACTAGTAAAGCGTTACAGTAATAAAATGATCATTGCAGCCTACCGTCTTAACAAAATTATACAGTTTAAATCATCTGTGGATAATTCTTCCAACTTTAGAAGCTTTTTCTTAAACTCAAATCTTAAACTCAATAACCTCGCTGATTTCGTTTTGCTGCATCTCGGACTGAACGTTGTAGACCCCAATATGAGAAGAATGTTTGAGAATAGTCTCAGCGAAGAGAAAGTTCCCTAACTTTCAAGAATTTAGCAAATTTGTTTGATCACAACTTAGAGTCGCAGAAATGTGTTCTGAGCCTTCTACTTCCAAAATTTCAAAGCCTAAAATTTAGGGGAAAACATTTTTAACCAGCAATCACAATAGAAGGGATAACCAGAGATTTTAGTTAGAATGCCCAGTCTGTAAATTGAGTCATAAAATTATAAAGTGTCCTCAGTCTCTAAATGCCAGGGGTAATGGTCGTTATGACCTGCTAAAGAAGTTTCATTTATGCTTTTCTTCCCTATCTCATCGCTTGCCTAATTGCCAAAGTAAAGGCTGTTGCCAAGTTTG